ACTACTGTTACAGTAGCATTTTAAACATTTTCCTCCTCCTTCAATCTGTTTTTGGTGTGAGTAAACAGGCATTCATCACACCTGGCTGAATGAACCCAGAATTACCCCTAGCCTTGAATCGTTAAAAGCAGGATCACTTCAACTTGTGACTGGCTCAGCGGGGATCAGACCATGCTAAATTGCTTGACAGTTCAGATATCCCCACTTTTCCCTAAAATTTGTCAGAAGACAGGCCCTATATAATTATGTAACCAAACACAGCTTCTGTTATTAAATGTAGCATGAGCAAAACATCTTTCTCCTCTTTCAACTTCAAACTGTTTTTGTGTGTGAGTCAACCAGTCATTCGTCTCACCTGGCTGAATAGACCCATTAAAAGCAGGATCAAATCAATTTGTGACTGGCTCAGCAGGGATCAGACCACGCTAAATGGCTGGATATAGTTCAGATATCACCTCTTTTTATCAAGTTTAAAATCCCTTAGAACATGCTGGGAAGTTTCTCTCCAATCCCTCACAAGCCTCCACTGTTTCTGCTTCTCTTTGACCCTAGCTAGCTCTCATTTAGAAGTGACTTGATAGATTTAGTATAAACAGTTTCTTCTTGTGGATTTATGGCCCTTTCAATCTGTGGTATAATGCAAATTTAGTCAAAGTGTGAATAGATGATGAGCAAGATTGCATGAATAATCTTTCAACATTGTCCTTTATTTGTCTATCATATATTCTACTGTCATCTCAATTTTCAACTGCTTCCATAATAATGTCATCAGTTATTATTTCTACTTGATTCTTTCTCATTTGCTCTGTGGTGGGTGTATGTATGTTTGGGGACATAATCTTGCCTCATATTACTTAAAAAATGCCTGCATCCATGTTTAACAAAAACACATAAAATTGACAATATCTCGCAAAACAAAACAAATGTATGCCTTTTGTCAGCTGCTCGATTGAAAAAGAAACCTTCAGGTAGTTGGAACTGTATTAAAATAGAGAAGAACCTGATATTTTTGTCTCCCAGGTCAATGTTTACAAGATACATACCTCAAATTCTTTTTAGATGTTTAGAGGTACCAAAACTCCCAACCAGAATACCTGTGCAGGTTCAAAGACATCGATTGAACCGATTCGCAAATTCCACATTATCCCTCCCTCTCGCCCACCCCTCCCAGGGTCCATGTCAATCATACTTATCCTGTCTATCATAACGGGCTTGACATCCGACTCGAAATGAAAGCAGACCGCCAGCACCGCAAATCTACCTCGGCTTCCAGGTGCGGTGCGGTCTGGTTAGTAACAAGTCTTATTTTGTTGCTGCTTCGATCCCCCTGTAGGACATGACATTTGGTTGTCCACATGGTGTCGGGCATGTTCACTTCTGATTTTAACTTAGCTTCCTGGCTATAGCTCAATTAAGTGGACCATCTCCATGAGCTGAACTGCAGGGAAGAGATTTTACAAGAAACTGGTTCATTTCATGTCATTTCATGATGCTATTAAAAACCCAATTGAAACAGATAGAATGCAAATACATTCATGCACATGAAGAGATATACATGTATAGACACTTACAAATGTATGAGAATGATACAGATATGAGAGAAAAAAGGAGGAGATAAGAATTATATCCAATGGAATACAAAGAAATTATATCAAAAATAGTTGTATCATTTCCAACTTTCCAACAAATAGTTTCATAATCTGACTACATGTTTGTTTGTTTTTTCTCTTGCTTTCCCCCTTATTGTTACTTATTCCACTCGTCATTTTCTTTATTTTTGTGCTTCCCCTCCTCACCGCTTTCTCTCTTCCTCTCTCTCTCTCTATCTTACTCTCTATCTCTCTATCTCACTCTCTATCTCTCTATCTCATTCTCTATCTCTCTCTCTCTCTTTCTCCCTCTATCTCTATCTCTCCTTCCTCTTTCTCTTTTCCTCTGGATTTTCTGTGTCTCCATCCACATATCCATCTTTTTCTACCTCTACATTCTGCTCTTTTCACCTCCCCCCCCCATCTCTCTCTCTCTCTCTCTCTCTCTCTCTTTCTCTCTCTCTCTCACACACACTTGTTCTCTCTCTCTCTTTCTCCCACTTTCTCCCTATCCCTTTTCTATACTGCTCTATCTCTCTCTATGTTTCTCTCTCTATATCTCTCTAATTATCTCACTCTTTCTCCCTCTCCTTCCCTCTTTGTGGCTAATTGTTGCTTCATGTCCTTTTCCAGCCATATAAATTTTTTTTCACCTGAGGCTTTGACCTATAACAAATATTTACCTTGTATGTCTGAGCACTGATCAAAAGACGATTTCATCCCATGAAAGTGACTTTCATCTCTACATTTTTTGTTTTGGTAACTCCTGCTTTATACACAGGAGCACCTATATTGAGTTTAAAAGTTTTAAGTACCTGCTTCACAATATGAAATAATATCTGAAACCGTTGCCTTCCTGTAAAATGCTGAAAGTGATTTTCAGCTCTGTATTATTGGTGTTCTTGCTTGAAACACATTATTGTCCATTTGATGAATTATAAAAGAACAATATTGAGATTGAAATGGTTATCATAGTTTTATAATGGAAATCAATATCCAAGACTCTACATTTCCTATTAAATGCCAATGGCCACATCAGATCTGGTTTGATCTGACATCCTATCTCTTAGACAATTCTCCTCTCCTGACACCTTCAAGGTCATTATTCATCAAATAATTAAGAATTCCTGTTTAATTGAATTCCAAGGCTTGTTTTTATATTTTTCCGTTCAGTCTGAAATATGTCCAAAAAATTGTTTTGTAATATTTTTCTTTAGATTTATTATGTTATGCAGTTATGCTTTTTGAAATTGCATAATATCAAGCTGTTTATTTTCAGTGATCCAACATTTGCTCTGTTTGTTCTCATATTCATTTTTTTATCAAGATGTATAGAGTTAGGGTTTGTATATCATCATGGGTCTAGAGTTGAAACTTGAAAATCCACTAGTATAGGAGATTGACCTTGCAGCAATTTTCAGTGGAGTATTTATTTTATAACAAAATATCACCACAGTAATTGTACAATAATAACATTCTATTATTTGTTTTAATTTTTCTCTTCTGATCGATATTAAACACAGTGCTCTGCAGAATGTGGTGAAGGTGATCGAAGGCGAGAGCTGCTATGCGTGAATGAGGATAGGAATGAGGTACCAGAGTCGGAATGTAGCCATCTACCAAGGCCAGATGAGACACAGTCCTGTAACGGTGGACCATGTCAGACATCTTGGTTCACCAATGACTGGTCCACACAGGTAAGACAATGTTGCTCATCTTGTATGTTTTAAAGCCTGTCTGTACTAGTTTGACCAAGAGGGATTAGACCACCCAGTATGGTCACTGACAGGTGGTTATCTTATCAAATCAGCTCCCAATGAACATAAGAAAAAGAGGATCACGAGGGACCGACGGGCACCGCTTAGGCGTTGTTTTCTTTATAGAGGGAGCAAGTAGCTACAAGTAGTGCGGTGGGGCTTTAATTAGGAGGAACTTGTGTTCTCTCCTCTTGTTTTCGGGCACTTTCGCCTTTTTTTCATAAGGGGACTATATATATATATATATATATTGACAAGACCGCCTTGGTCTTTTATGGTACCCTTGATTCCATGTATAATGATTTGCATTTGGGCTTTATTTCGAATTTGTATGTGTGTATGCTTTTATTGGAATTAACATAGAGTTGAACTTGAATTGAAATTGAGGTATAAGAAAAATTATCTCAACGTACTTAAAGATATGTCTTGGGATGTGCCACAAATGACTTATCAATAAACCTTGTAAATAAATAAATATTTAATATTTTAAAAATAACTAATTATTTATTTTACAGAATTGATAGTTTATAATGTCCTTTTTCATCTAAAGTGCTCATCAAATTGTGGTAGTGGAACGTTATCTAGGGGCGTCTTATGTAGTACAGAGGGCACTACAGCCGGAGCAGTACCTGACGGTCAGTGCAGCGGTCAGCAAAAACCAGATGAGGTCAAAACTTGTACCGAGGCACCGTGTGGACCAAAGTGGTTTACTTCAGAATGGAGTAGGGTGAGTAATGAAAACTATATAATTCAGTTTTAGATGTAAGGCTCCCTAGAAAAAGTTTCAATTGTTGTAAATAAATTTTGGCTCCCAACTTCACAGCGGCCTAATAGATATGAATAAGTCTAAATGAATTAGAAGAGCTGAGGTATTTGTTTTCCAGTTCATCGTGACTGTGAAATGGACCAGTGATGGTGATAAAGTCGATGGCAGGTTAAATCTTGCTGGTTCCAAGATTTTTTCTGACTTGTTTTCAATTATAAGATCAAGCATGCAATCTTTATTTACTTGGGAGCTAGCCCAAAACTTCTTTGCAACAATTTATTACTGCTTTTCTTTTTATAAATACATGTATAACATTAATGTATTTGAGATTGATCATGTATCTTAAGACCTCAATCCCTACTGCAACATCATCGAAGTAACTGATGGTAACAAAGAGAGTACTGGAAAATAATCTTCATTAACTAGTTCTTGGCTCATTTCTAACTTATTATTTTCTCACTTAGCTTTAAATATTTTCATCTTGAAAATACATTAATAATACACCAGAATAACTTTCTCTGTTGACGTTAACTCGGTGAGACCTATTAAAGGAAGCGCCATTCGCGCCACAACATGCACATACCACTATTATACCAAATTATATGCATCTATCATCATCATCACCACCATGATATATCAAATGTACTTTTATATTTCTTTATTTAACCTGATGAGAATTGTAACTAAAGAACCAGTCACTTTTATATCCTTGAATAATGGCTGCATGTAAATGGCCTCTTAGGCAGATGACATTTCATTCTGCTCAAACACCAATGAAAATTTTCAATTTAACATTTGTTACGACTGTCAAAATCATTTCACTAGAATAGAAGATAAGCTTTTGTTTTAAATACCAGGCCTGGCATGTATGCACCGCAATTTCAGGCACATTGCACGATGATGTGAGGAAATGTTGTGAACAGCACATTTTCCGATGCGGTCTCACTTGGGCCATTAATCTTCATTAACTTGGCTCATTTCTGACTTATTATTTCCCACTTAACTTTCAATATTTTCATCTTGAAAATGCATTAAAATCATAGTACACCAGAGAATAATGATCATTATGATGAAAAGAAGTCTTGCACCTGTTCATTTAGCTAATTCGTTCTCCTCATGATTTGCAATAACATGAGCAAGCTTTTGATTTATGAAAATGATGTTGGGAGCCAAATAGATGAAGAAGATATTCCAGACTGTACTTTCGGGGGTCAAGGATGTTTGTTTTCTCCTAAAAAATTAGCAGAGTCATCCTAAGAGACCTAGATTGAGGTAGTGTAAAAGTTCATGTACAAGACTTTGTAGGTCCCCATGGCGATAGCTTATTAAAAATTTGTATTTTAATTGTAAAGTCGTAATTGGGCAGTCTACAGCGACTGCCCAAGAGAAACAAAAAATGTGCTTGTTGTAGACAGGTGGTCTTTGTAGACAGGTGGTCACTAAAGCAGGTTTGACTGCATGTATTTGTATTTCATTATGAAAAAGAAAATATGAAACATGCAGCTCAAAGGCTGAATTTATTCTAATAACAAAACAAAACAATGGTAAAATACATAAGTAATGATCATAAAATCAGTAAATATTAAGTACTTATTGTTTTAAAAAGTAGAGTTTTGAAGTTGTTCTTTGAAAGTTATGCTGTGACATATGCTTCTGTCTGATTTTGTCAAAGATGTAGGGTTATAGATATTTTTGGGTTTTGGGTTTGATTTTAGGCTTTAGAGTTAGATTAACGAAAGGGCAGTTGTTACTGGAGCATATGTCGCAGTACCTATTTCTTTTTTCCCTACTTTATGATTGTTAAGTGATTATTCTTCACTTTATGGAGTAGTAAACTTTCAACATGACATCCAGCTCCTAGCTCATAGACCATAAAAATAGATACTTGAAGTGTGTTTGATAAACATGCCAATAATATTGCCTCCGCTTTGGGAAGTCAAGCACCAATTTAAAGGGCTATTTTGAGAGCATGTATCCTCAGAATCCTAGCAACATGTCTTCAAAGAGTTTAGCATCCTATTCTGTGTGATGCCCAGTAATATGTGCATTGAAAGCGATGTTGTTGATGCTAATTATTTTGGGATGCTAGTTAATCAGGTCTATTGTTCTTGTTGAAGATGGCCATAATGTAATTATTTGTTCATTTTCTAGAAAATTGTCACTGAATTAAAAATTGTCTGAAAAATTGTTATTGAATTTGAAGTAGTATACTGTCAATATAGTTGTTTGCTGATATTTTACAGTATAGTGAAATCAGGATGAAAATTATAGGAGTACTTGGCAAGAATTAAGAATCAGGTTTCATTAAAATGTTGATACCTTGCATGTCACCTCGTCTCTACTTCATTGTTCTTTAATTGTAAATTTTATCTGCGCAATTTAAATCTGAAAGACTCAAAATCTTTCTCTTATCCTGTGTTTTTAATTTCTGTCTGTGATTTTGGTGTTCACTTCGTTTCACTTAGCAATATTTCTTCACATTTTTGTCTACATTTTCTAAACATATCTGATTAAATTAATTTCCGTTCAATATTAATATCCCTTCTTTGTTGTTCCTCTCTATCCCAGCTTGTTTTTGCACATTTATTTAATCATATTATATGATATCCATGTGTAATAAACTCTTATGGCATTTACTCATTGGCTTGGCTCGCCAAGAGAAAACTGGCAAGGGAATTTGGAAAAATAGCTTCTCCATATCAGAGTCCAGACAGATCTTAGCGCACTATAAGGCCTGGCATAGAAAGCAATTACCCTCTAAGAAAATTTGGCTATGTCATGTCTTGTTGACCATTTCATGATGTTTGTCAAATTTAAACAATCTGTCATCAGTTTTTATTAGGATTGAAGAAACTTCAATCAGCAGTTGAAAGAGAGCAGAACAAAAACAGAACAAAACTACCTCCAGCCATGAATGATTTCATGGTTTAAGTGATGTTTGTTCAAGACTTTACGGATGTTCTTACCCGACTCAGTCAGATATACCTACTTTTCCTCTTTCTCCTGTCTTCATTTTTCTCTCATAATACAATCCCTTTGTAGTTTCCACCCTCATTCACCCCCTCACCCCCCCCCCCCATCTTCTCTCTCCCTTTCTCTTTCTCTTTCCCTCTCTTTCTCTCTCTCTCTCTCTCTCTCTCTCTCTCTCTCTATCTCTCTCTCTATCTTTATCTCTTTCCCTCTCTCTCTCTCTCTCTCTCTCTCTCTCTCTCTCTCCCCCCCCCTTTCTCACTTTTGCATGTGTCATAGAAATTATTCCTATATTCCTCCTCAGCTTGCTCATTATGCTCTCTCACATAGTGCAATTCTTCAAATTCATTTGATTCTTTTTTAAATAAAAAAATAAGGTCAATACTATTCTCCTATATATTCTCTCTGCAGTGTTCAGTAGGATGTGGAACAGGCACTCAAACCAGGAGTGTCGTCTGCGTGTCGTCAGACGTCTCCCCTACCATACTCCCTACCTACCAGTGCCCTGTGTCCCGCCCTCAGACCAGTCAACAGTGCGAGGAGACGGAGTGTGCTGGAGTACATTGGTTCACTTCGGAGTGGTCCGAGGTAAGACAGACATGACCCGTTGAATTTATATCTTAACCCCTTGACTACTGAGTTCTCTTATTCCCATAGGCTTAATACAGGGGCCACCTGGTTCCAGTAGGCAATGAGTTAACTAAGGTATTCACACACACAAAAATTATTTTTGAATTGAGATTTCTACGACTGCCTGACAGTTGATGTACTACTTCTACTATACCTGCATGTTTGTAGTCTGTTGAGAGCCAGAAGGGTGTTAGCTCATTGCCAAATGATATGAGTTAGTGTCATTCTGGTACTGAGGACTCTATCCTAACCTTCTGTGATATTTCATTAATATGAGAACTCTTTATAAGTGGAGTCTTATTCAGATTAAAGAGGTTTGCATCCAATTATAAAACTGTCAGGAGTATATTTTGTGTTTGAGATGTACCCTTCCCCTATCAACCCATACAAATATGACCAAGACAATCACAAAGACCAAATCACATTGTTGCAGTCCCCTTAGAAATATTCAGGCTACGTAAGATTTCTTAGAATGCGATGGACAAGGCTCTTGTAATTGCCCTAGATTTTTGTTTAAAGTCTCTTTGATCATGTTAGATGTTGATAATTGACATCAAGTGCAGTTTGTCCATTTTTAGCCAGTTAAGGATCCTGATAGGAAGTATGTTATGTGCTTGTACCAGAAGTGAAAGAAAAGAGGAACAACAATATAATCCTCGCAAGAGACAAAAAAAATTATGTGAACAAACAAGCCTCCCCAAAGCATACAAACATTTCCTATTTCTTGTCATCACTGCTATAAAATAAAGTCGCTTCAGACTCCGAACTTTTCAGAAGGAAAACAAAATGCACTAGTCTTATCCATAATTAAGACACCCATGTCAGCAGTGATGCGTTGTCTTGGTGATGATACTAGCAGAGTTGTGGTATCCTCTGGGGAGAGGATGAGGAAACTATAAACATATGGAGAATCTTTCTCCTCCTACCTGTTGCTTCCCACGTCCATGTTTGTCTGCCCTAGCTGACAGAGTTCTTGGGAATCTTGTTTTCCAATTTTGTTGTCAGCTGTTCAAGATGGGCGTCTCCTTTGCCCTTAGTTTTTGCTTGTAGATATCTTGAATCCAGAGTTTTGACAAAAAGGTTTTAATATGTGATCCACTGAATGAATGTTTTTACACTTAAAGTTGTTTTATATAGATTTAGTTTAAACATGAAAAGGAAAAGGAAAAAAAAAATAATTGATAGAAGAACGGCCGTGTAGTAATTACACATTCAATACATATTCAGTACTCTGAAGGCTGTTTCAATGGCATTGAATTCATAAAAATGTGGTTTCTTCGCTTATTCATAGACCAAAACTTTAATCGATTTCTAAAATTCAAACAAGAGTCATTATTACCTGGGCATGATTTTTCAATCTGCATAGACATCTGACATTATGTAAGTGCTCCCCTTAGAAAAACTGGATGCCATCATCACATATCTATTTTAAATGAATATGTACCTTGTATATCAAATCTATTTTAGTCATAGCAAATTTCTTGTAGCTCTGTAATTTTCCTTTAACTTGACAAACTTTCCTGTTCCGATTTCACGACCACACTGAAATCATAGACTTACTCAAGTTGTTGCCAATTGCCCAGTAATGTGTCCAAGATGTTTTAGAAAGCTCATCTCTACGGCAAGGAAACAGCTTGAGGAAATAGCTATAGGAAAGAGCCCTTAACAAACACCTACTTATACTATTTTTGCATATGGAATCACTAAATAGGCAATTCTATTGTGTAGGAGTTATCTTTTGAGAATTTTAAAGATTTTTCTTTCTGTGAAATTAAATTGTGAGTGGATAGGGATCATGCTGGATAGTTTTACTGTAATTTATTCCCCTGTTTTTTGGAACATGTTAGTTCATTTCCCACATTACAAATGCTAAGAAAGATGAATTGTGTACACTGAAATATTTTAATTGGCAATCTATAGTACTTTTTAATACACCCCTTTAACACTTTCCCTTTTCAGCAGATATGTCATTTCTAACTTTATTGAAAGTATCTGCATGTTCGATTGTTGTAAGAGAAATGGTGACATACAAAACATTTGAATCATCAATATGATTTGTGAAAGTTTTGCTTTCATTCCAAGCAAGTTACATTATGGTTCCATTGAATATAACCTACATGTATATATTTTGTGGTTTGTTCCATTACAAACTTTTGTAGTCCTTTTTCTTTTTAGCATCCAACTAATTATAATAAATAGTCCAAACACATAAACAATTCTTTTAACAATTTTGGACATACAATAGTCAACTTATGCTCAATTTGACAAACAAATTCTTGAAATTTTCTTGTGTAACTTATTCAAGAAATCAAGACTTCTCTTCCATATGAGAAAATAGAAGTAGAATAAAAAGTAACAAACAGTACCAGGACATCAGTACCACCTTAGGAAACTTTAGGCAACTGGTGCTAAAATTATAAATCAAATTCTTGGAAACTGATTTATTACTGTAACAATAAAACTTTTCTCCCATTTGAGAAAATCGGTTCATTTCAAAATTGTTTTATTAAAAAAACATGTCATGTAGCTCAAGGCTGATATTGTCTGTTTTTACAAATCAATCATATTTACTTTGTAAAACAAACATCATAATAGAAAAGCAATATAACAATGGTAACACATTCAGCAATGTTATATAAGATTTAGAAATGTATCAACAATGTTGATAAGTAATGATCAAAATCAGTTAGGCAATGTCATTGAATATTTGAGGATAAATTCAATTGCGCATTAGAAATGCCCTCTTTATAATTGAATGCTTGAAACTATTACTGTTTTTAAAAAGAATGGACGTAGAATCGTCAGACATAAAAAAAAAAGTAGAATAGAGACATCAGTGTCACCATATCAAATGGACCTGACTTTGAATCAAGGCTCAAAAACCAACTGATATTACTTTGACTAGTCTAGCCATGAGAACAGTGCCCCGAGGGCTAGTGAAACAGAAATCAGATGTATAAATATTTCTCAATTTGTTGAATTCCCAACGCTGACAGGAGTGTGTGGTATTTTCATTTTATTGCATATTATCCCACACACTGGAAAAAATAAAGATTTGAAGATGAATGCATAGGCATCGTGATATACTTTCAATCTGAAGAAGGCAAAACCATGAACATACTAGCATTACAAAAACTATTATGTTAGTTGCAATTTGGAGGTTGCAAAATGTTTTTCTGTATTTTGTGCATTGATAAATATAGTTATCTGCTACAAAAATGTTTTTTAAGTTTTTTTAAAAACCATTACTGATAGATATTCAGCTGTATAAGCAACGATTTATAGACATGCAGAATTGAATCTAATCATCCTGTAGATTAAACAATATAGAAATTACTCTTTAATTTTTTTATTTTTATTTCAATGCTCATGTGATTTGACAATGTTTTGTTTTTTAAAACCATGTTTCCAGGTACTACAACTCCTCTGCGTTCTTATAGTGAATCATATTTACAAAAAGTATCATTACAATGCATATCTTCTTAATTGATGAAAATAAATCATTAACAAGTTGACAACCGCTTAGAATTAACACAAAAAGGAAATTGGGTGATAAAAATACCTGACCCAGCATGACAAGGTGTATGAGACAGCTGTAGCTGTTTCCAATCAAGTACGTTCTGTGGTTTCCTCAATGAGCTCATAATGAGTCAACGTAGGCCTGGGAAGGGACAAGGGTTTTCCCCTGAAGACTGGACTAATGTTCCTGTCATATCTCATATCATAAGTGCATGTTGAGGCCTTTGACATACATCATGTACTTCTAGTGTCAATGTGATTAGGACATCTGTCAGGTATACTTTTGTTTGCGCAACTAACAGTTGTTAACAGTTGTGCAAACCAGGGCCCGGTTTTATCAACAGTTGCGATTAATTTCGACTTATTTGCAATTGATATCAATCGCAATTTTGTACATAAGAGATAGGATCATAGGAGACTGCAAACTTGATTAGAGGACTTGCAATTAATTCGGATCAATTGTAACACTTTATAAGGCGAGGCCCTGACATTAACTGACATTCAGCATTTGATATGACTATCATGATATTAACCCATCAAATACTGTGCCCGCACTAATCCATGACAAATATATACTGAATTGAATTAGGTAACAAGCAAGTTTACTGAGAGAAGTTTAACTTCTAAGTTAAATAAAATGAAGAGAATAAACACCGTCACAAACATTACTTTTATGAAAAGTCAACTCAAAGGCAATCTTGATACCCTATTATCTCATCAAAACCATGTTTGCGTTAATGATAATACGCCATTGAAATGTGATGGATAAGGCTATTGAAAATGCCTGAAGTTTTTTTTTTTTAAATATTTGTGATCCTGTTAATAGAGGACACTTCATGACTAGATATGATACATATATGTGTGCATCATGTAATATTGATGATCCAGGGTACTACAATGTGAGATGCTGCCTGCACGCCAACTCCCCAAACCCTTTAGTGAGCTTTTTGAACAAGTATTCATCTTTAACGGTGGTTCTTTTATGTTAAATGATTGATTAAACTTTAGAAAGTATTACCTTGGGATTATATTTGTGTGTTTAGTCCTCATGGAAACAAATCAAAATGTACTTGTCAATTTACACTTCGTTTACCGAAAGGGGAGGGGGGAATGCATCATTAAACAGAACACAATTAAATGAGAATGAGTAAGATATTTAGCAAGTTAGGGAGTCATCAAGCTGAGCAAAAGGTGAGGAAACCAGTGGAAAATTGAAAGTGACATCTCAATAATGGAAAAACAAGGAAAAATTATGGATGAACTGTGAAAAAATATGAACTCGTGACACATGAAGAAGGGGCTTGAATAAGGAACGTGATCGGGAATTGTTTCCTTTCATTTTCAAACTGATCCAGAACACATTTTATGGGTGGCAACAAGAGAATAACATTTGAGTGGTTCCAAGTAACAAAAGGAGGAAGTTGAGCTATCATATTTTGTAATTTAATTTTAGACCGCTATGATCAAATTACATGGGTTTGTTCAACCAAGGTTCTATGATACATAGAGTACAATTCTTTTTAGATATGTAGTATGCTAGAATTCGTTTTAGAAACATATAAAATATATATATATATATTACGGAAGAATTCTTTTTAGATATGTTGTAGAACAAGGTTGAAAGAAAAACAACAAAAGAAAGTAAAGAAAGAAAGAAAACCTGAAGAAAAAAATAGAGGTAATAAGCATTTGGGGTAAATTAACTTTGTGTTTTGGAAAAAGGAAATTCATTAGCATAACTGTTCATGTGACAGATTTAATGAACTCTTGAGGGAAAAGAGTACAATATTTTGACACTTTTAAGTTATGTAACGTTGATGCATTTTTTTAAATTAAAAAAGTGTGGAATGTTCCAGACAGAGAATGTCATGAAAAATTAAAAGTTCTAAGGTGAGATGTTTGACTAAAATTTGCATAATGATTATGTAAGCTGTCTTAAGTTCTGAGAACACATCTAGTCCTAAAGCCGATTGTGTTTGCTCTGTTCTAATGTCTTAAATGTCATTATTTAGCTTCATTCCTTGTTGAAATTGTCACATTTTTAATACTTATTGTCACACTTGTTTAATCAAGGTGATGATCAATGATAGTTTCTCTTAATACACCAGCACAAGTAATAATTAAAAAAAAAAAAAATTATTTCTTGAGTATTTCTCTGTATTATATTTCAAAGCTGTCCAGATGACACTCTTTTTCATATTGTTTTAACTGTATTGATTATTTCAAGTTGAATCGGTTTAAATTATTTCTATTCGTTTTAAATTGTATCAGAAAAACTACCCTCTGAAACCCTCCCCACGACAACCTCACACAAGTAGAACACCTACACAGTGAAAAAAAATACAAGGGGGCTCAGGGCGAATTAGCCCCCGAAATGCCAAAAAGAGCCCCCGAAAGACATAAAAAAGCCCCCCCCCAAAAAAAATTATTTTCATGCAAGCAAGCTTGAAAAGTAGCCCCCAAATTTTTTAAATTATTTTTTCCCTGCATCTACCCCTAGAGTAATTGTTCCCCTGTTAATACTTTCCATATTAGTGGGATAATTGTCACATTGGATTAACTGCCAGGGATAATTTTCGTAGGGATTTAGTTTCCAGGGAGAAGGTAAGCTAGTAGTAGGCCCCTTCGATAATGTCATTCCATTTTTCACAATCCCAAGTCACACGACTGTGGTTACTTGTTCCCTAAATCACCCCCAAAGTCAGCCCCCACAAGTGGATGTACGTTTAGGATCGGCCACAATTCATGTTTCCTTTCATTTACAACTTGAAGATACCATAACCCTTTAGGATCAGCTGCTGAATTTCTTTTCTAGGAAAGTGTCGGTGGGCAAGTCAGACCCATTTGGGTCACTTGCTGTCCCATTCATTACCGAGAATAATGGGGAAAAAGAACACAAATGTCATTTACTTCTTTTGTCCGATCTCAGCTTTATTAAAGCTGTCGACTTTATGAAATGATTGGGAATTACTAAAAACTCTTTATAAGCTCAGTAACAAATGGATCAAAATACTTTGAACTTGCCCTTGTAGGCATATGACATATATAGATATATCCATTATCTTTTTGCCCCAAAATGTCACATTTAAGTCTTTAAAGGGAGAAAAATATTGAAGGGTATGTTTAGCGCTGTTTAATAATTTATTCATCATATCTCAGACACTATAAACTGCTTGAAAACATGTCTTTTATTCACTATTTTGGAGACAAACCATGAATATAAACTACTTTGGATTATGTATACCATACTCCTGTCAAATTATTACTTACTGGTAGTTATGTTACAAATGTTTTTATTCACAAAAGAAATGGCAACAACTTCTTGTGATCTGTACATCATTTATTTAAATGAATCAGGATGTACTTCTACTCAGATCGTTATCATTGGCATGTATCCTCTTGTATATTTCCACAATTCACTATATTTAGCTTGCTCGATCTCCTCAACGTTTCAAGTGATTATGGATGACCCCATACAGCTTTGTTCATCTTGACTCACTTCCATAGAGCATTGTGGTATTAATATTACACCAGTGTCAGAAGTTGTTTTGTGCTTTAAATTCTTGATCTTTCCTATGTCGCCATGGAAACAGAGTTGACTCGTTTCCTTGGACAACAGTCTTATTTCTTTCTTTTTGACATAGAGTAGTTAATGATACATGGATATAGAGGAAACGTTTTTGATCGTCACTCCTCACAACATCAAGTTATAAAAAGCTACTATCTTGTATTATATTTATCTTTCTTTGCGAGTTGTTGTTATTTGTTAAGCTATCATTGTTATTTGCTGATGTGTATACTACATTGTAGTTGAGGTAAAATAACATCCTTAATCTCTTTCTTTCTTTTTTTGGAGGATAATGCCATCTTTATTCTTTCATAGAGAGGAAGTTTCAAGGTTTTCATATTTTCCTCAAATTGTTCTTCTCCCAACATTACATCATTCACGTACAACTCTTGCAGATCAAAGAAAAGGAAAAGGAATGCTAACACTTCCAGAAATGTATGATATTTGAGACCAAAAAGAAAAAAAAGATATAAATGCATTATAGGCTATAAGAACAGGGAAAGAAACTATGCATTAAAATAAATAGAGGATTTATATTGAATATCCTATGCTGAGAGGCAGGAGGGGTTTAAACTCGTGTTTGAACACAAAGTTAAAGATAAAGTTTAGTGTTGGTCATGCGATTGCATTGTGAAAGAAACAATGTGGAATTGATCAGAAACGGTTGATAAGTATTGGTGTGTACTGCAAGATTCTGAAATCATCAAAATGATAAGAAATTTGGTACAGTCTTGGTAAAGTTACAAGCACTGTACACAGAAAGATGTATATCTGACTACACAAACATGTGGCATAAAAATCTGTCCCAATTTATATGATGTTACATGCCATATTTATAATATTAAGACATCTGAAGAGCCATGCTTTTCAAGGAACACTTTATATCTGATGTTCTTCCAGACTTGCATAATACAATGTTAACGCTCACAAATTATTGTTCACCTCTTCCCAGAACTCAACCTTCTCTTTAAAGCCCTTCATGCTCTCAATGGTTGATGTCATCTTGACGATAGAGGAGATTACAACATCTTTCAAAATGATAAAACTCTGGATATTTGTAACATAAAATAATGCTTTCTCCTTTTATTCTTCCTTGTTCATCCAGTGTTCGCAGAGCTGTGGTGGAGGTTATCGAACGAGGCATGTCAAGTGTCTAGACGGTCTGATGCAGCCCAGTACAGAATGTGAAATCATAGAAAGACCCGGCTTGAGGCAATCATGCAACATACAACAGTGTCACATAGTACAACCTGATGGTAAGTACAATACTTAATATAAAATCATTGAATTCAAAGGCTATGTTGCATTTTTCCCCCTGTAACTTCTTTTTCCTTTCCCCCCCTTCTTCTTTTTTTTTTTTATTTTTTTATTCAGATGGACTAAAATGAAAAAATAGTTTCAAGAATTTAAAAAAAAAAAATATATATATATGCTGAAAGAAAAAAGAAAGAATTTTAAACCACTTTCTCTGTTTTTCTCTTTGCTCAAAATGCTTTGGATCTGCATCATATAGCATCTCCTCCTGCCCCCCCCCCTCCCCCCCAAAAAGTTTGATAAATAACCTTAATAAAGCTCTGAAAAATCTGGGGACTTTTCAAAAACTATTAACTTTTCAATCTAGGTGCACAATTCATATCTATTTTCATCAAGAGATTAAAACTAATTCCAGGGATTTATTTCAGAAGCCAATTCTCTCCATGCAGTGCTAAATAGAAATAGACTATATATACTGTCCGGTGAGAGACGATGACCAAGCAGAATTTCTGTCCTCACCTTGTGCTTGTCAGAGCTTTCCCTTTCCCTTTCCTGACATATCATTCATCATTTTATGAGCTAGTCAGGTCCGAAACATAGTCTGATGTGACTTTGGACAGTCCCCTAGATTGGTCTTATAAAGGACAGGAATTATCTTTAATTACGTTGAAATTTGATTAGGACCGGGAAGCTAAAAGCTGACTATTTAATTATTACCTGGGGGGGGGGGGGTCTTGTTACATCATGCTCAAAGTCACCATTCAAAGTCTCTACCTGACTCAAAAGTATTTTCGTTCCTTCCTGTTCTTGGAAGAACAAAAATAATCTGGTAGTCTTTTAGTGTGTTCTTTACGTGGTTGAAGATCACTTTTATGGGTTGTCATCAATTGTGTTTGTTTGAAAAATGAGTCAATCAGCAGCTGCTATCCATTGTGTAAGATTATTCCTCCACTTTTGTTGTTGTTGCTTTCTCCATCTTTATACATTTCTCCAAACATTTTTCAGAGCATAATCTCCCTTCTTCATATGGAAGTGTACTATTTGTTCTAATGGCATGAATGTTTTTCATAACCAACCATTTGTCTTTACATCCATTGGGAGGGGGGAACAGTTCAGAGGGAAGGGGGCAGACATGGTTCCTTTGTTCCACATTTGATCCATGTATTATTGCTCATGGTAATCTTTCTTTTCTATGGGGAAACAAAATAAACAACGTTATTATCTAGAGAATTTGGGAAACTTTCAAAAGATGCCTGTGTCTGCATTAACTAGTAAGAAGAGTCATACTGATGTATCTCTGTCATCACACTGTCTCATCCACGATGACTCCACGTCGTTAACGCAAGATTTAATCAGCCGCAATTCCTCCTATCTGGGCTTTTGGGCAGAGGTGTGGTAAGAAGGACAAACGCAGGATGCGCTCTAAAGCCCTCCAGTAAGAGTTGGGTTCGCATGACAGTTCATTAACTTTAAGTTTAGTCACTGGTGGTTTTAGATTCCAAAATTATCTTGTAGTTATAGGGACAGTTTGGAATGCATCCATGTTACAAAACATAAAGTTTACTCAAAGTTATAAACCGTGAGAGATCTTGAGGTATCTTGAGGTTATCATGATAAATTTGAGGGGCATGGGGGGGGGGGAGGGTTAGGGGTCCTCGCTTGAAGCTAACTGAAGTTAACTTTGAGGTTAGGCCAGCTTGAAGTTAAAACTTAAATCAGTGCTTGCCCGGCTTATAATTTATAACTGAGTACGTTACTTACTGTTTTGGTCCAGTGTGAACCCTCATTGTTTTTTAAAACTTTGCAAATTTTTGGAAACTACAACAGTCCCTTGTGAACATGTCTTCCTTGAGACTTGATCCCCGTCAATTATCTTCCCAACCAAACTCCAAGGAGGATGGGTAATGAGAAGAAGTCGTTGGATTACATGGTCTTATGTGATCGTTATCTGAGAGAGAAAACAGACAGAGACCAACTGGAAAACCAAAAATACATTTTAGTGTCTTTTACTTCTTTTTTAAAGCTCGTCTGTCGCAGTGTGTTTCCGTCCATGTTTCCATGAATGTAAGAAAAGCAAGGTTCTGAAAATGTGAAGTCTGTGGTATGTTGGGGGGAAGGAAAGGCAACTTGGCTTTATCAGATGTCGACAAAAATAAACATGGGTACAAGGGTGACCAAAGAATCCAAGTGCATGTTTGCATCATTACTCAATTTGAAATACAAGATTTAGGAGTACCTTTATGTAGTGGTTTGTTCACTGGACTCTTTACCAAGAGGTCTTGTGTTTGGATCTACGTTTCTTTTCAATGTCTAGCTTAGATGAGGTATTTGTTTAGAGTTGTCTCTATCAACCCAGGTGATGAATAGTTATGCTGCAGGATTCCCCCCTTGATGTGTGTTTTGCACTTGTAAAGGCTGCCAAAGCTGATGATAGTTGGTCAGTCATATCCAAAGTACATGACTTTTTAATTGCATATGTTCATCGTATCACATTATTACATGCTAGATTGTTATTGTTATGAAGGTTATTAGTTTGGTTTTAAGGATTTAAGGCAACATTCTTTGTGTATTAATTGCCTCTTTTTCTATCATTCAAAGACCAGGCTGCCTACTTTTTAAAGTCTTGGGAACATTTCTAACCTCAGTTTCAACGATACAAGGATAATGTTATCTTTCACACTCGCAAAGAACTATTGCAGGGCCCTTGCAAGGGAGAAAACCCAAAATTCACAAGAGGGTTCAATGATAATTGTTATTTTAACCAACACTCTCCTGAGAACAATATAGGAGGGATGACTTAATTCTTGCGGCATGTACTTCCTTTTCCATTCCTTCCCATAAACCCCTTTCCCTTCACCTTTCTTTACTATGCCCTGGTGCTCCAGACTATCCAGGAAAATTAGCCATACCCTTGGGGTATCCTACTTTCAGTGAATCATTCTAAAAGATAAACAAAAGAAAGGATACAGGGAGGGGTGGAGTGAGAGAGGGTTACTCCATCACAGGGGCTTTTCACCTAATAAAAAAATGACTCACTAATATCATAATTTGGCAGCTTTTGATCAAAAGGAAAAAGGAGGACGTGTTTTTTCTTCCTTAGAATCTGAAGCTGTCAGTCCAAGAGCCAAGGATAGGAAAGGAATGAGATTATAATCTTATGCTTATCAAAAGCAAAGGCATTGATAAAGGAACTGGCCTTTTCAGCGAATTAATCTATGCTTTGCACTCATTGATCTATGTTATTGATTAATGAAATGGATATTTAACAAATCCGATTTTGTTAATTACTTACAACATATGCCATCTCTCGTGGAAAAGCACACCCACCGCAATTGCTATTTATGTACCACATCTTAACCATTCATTTTGATATAGTTTTGTACTTTTTGTCAGGGTCATTACGATGAAATATGATGTATTAATGATGAGCTGCCAAACTGTATGTGCGTGTTCATTCATAAAGATACCTTATCTTGATCTCCTCCTCTCTCCATTAAATTTATATAAAACTCAAATAGTCCAACTCACAGGCAGAGATCACTCTGAGTCACAATCTGTGCATGACAAGAGTTTATTAGAAATCTAATGTTTATAAGTCATCAAGTCGCGTTTGGCTAGTAAAAATGGAACCATAAACAAGCAAATCAAATTTTGGGTGGCACGCCATCATTGAAACAATTCCAAGTCATCGAGCAACAAATGACCCTGATGTGATACCAGACACATTGCGAGGAAACACTTGAAACTTCACAAATCAAACCGTTAATATGATCATGAATGTCAGTCATAAAATGCTCATCAAAAACTCTAGTTCACCCAAACAAAGAGCTTCATTATGTGATGAAAGCTTGTTGATGTCTTCATCTATTCGGAGCCAGAAGGGCGTTAATTTCTATACTTTAACACAGAGTTAAGGCCCTTCTGGCTCTTAATAACAGACAATTTATAGTGCATGTATTACATTTTTCAATTTATTAAGTGATAAATGATTTTATTAGGTGCAAATTACATTTACCATGGGTGATCCCCATTTTTCTTTTTCTAAGTCCCTGTTTCCTGACTGTCAAATAAGTTTCCAACCCTTTCCAATCCTTCCTTTCTCTCTCGCCCCCTTTGTGCATGTATTACATTTTTCAATTTATCAAGTGATAAATGATTTTGTGAGGTGCAAATTACATTTACCATGGGTGATCCCCCATTTTTCTTTTTCTAAGTCCCCGTTTCCTGACTGTCAAATAAGTTTCCAACCCTTTCCCATCCTTCCTCTCTCTCGCCCCCTTTGTGAGTTGGCTTGTATCCCAGTCTTAATGGAGAGGCCAGTATGGTGTTGCACGCATTGCAAATTACTCAAGACCAGACTGATCATTCTTAACAGGTCCAGTCTTTGATGACCTTATTAAAACTAAATTGAATTTGGTCAGTAAAGTGCTTTCTGGAGGACAACAGGTTTTTAAAGATGTTTAGAAAGGAGGATGTACATCATATGAGATTTTACTGAAAAATGTCAATAAGTTTTTTCTTCTGATATTTCAGTTTCTTTTCTCTCAAGTTTTGCTTACTGTAACCTACATGTGCAGTTATTCCCCCATGTTGTTATGTTAAAGTCTTTATTTATTCATATCCAAGCTGTATACTGCCACATATCTGGCATCAGCAGTACAGACATGTTTATTTTATCGTTGTCTCTATCTATCCTATCTTAAAGATATTCAATTGATTATTTATTTCAAGTAATCCAAAACATACCATCTCAATCTCCCATGATCTTGGCCTTGTGCCTTTAACCATGGACCTACCATGGTTTAATGACAGTAATCATAGTTAGTAACCATGGTAACAGAGTTTGTTGTAAACCTGTGGGAGGACGGGATATTCTCAGGGCAAACTGGCACTGGTGGATTAGGGGGGGGGGGGGAGAGGGGGCACAACTGGCTCCCCCCCCCCCAGAAACATAGTAGTGCAATCATGTACCTTAAAAGTACACATAAATGTGCCCCTAATTATGTTTATGTGTCCCCTTCCAAATGTGAGATCCAAATTGCTCCTGAAATCGGATAAGCCCTTCTTTCCCTTGTCAGAGATTGTTCCCCCCCCCCCCCCTTTACTAAGTCCTGCAAATCGAAAGTGATGTTTAGCACTCCTGGGTGACTAGAATCCTACTTTGTAATCAACTGTGAAATCCAGCCCAGCTTGTGAAATACATCTCATATTCATGGCACCGTGCTTGCTCGTAAACCCGAACTTTCCTCAGATATTTTGACAATTATCTTTTCTCTCAGCTGTCTCACAAGTTTGGCAAGCAAAATTGTTGATGAATTCATTTTTTGAAGTACTCAATGCAAATCATTTAAATTACTAAAAAGAAATATTCAAAATCCACAGTTTTGTATTATTTTGTTTTATTTTTACTTTTGACTGAAATTGTATTTGTTAAGTGGTATGATATCAACATGGAAGAAAATAGAAGATAGGGGTGACTTTTGGAGCAACATAAATGGTTTCTGTTATATCAATATGATGATTACTCCATCATGTTCATTCATATTCATACCAGCTTTGTTAATCAAAATTTGAAGTACATGTATTTTTATTTATTGTAGCTTTGGATCTGATGCAAGCAGTTTTAAACTACATGTAGAATAAACTGCATTATACAAGTCTCTGATTTTGAATGTACCCGGTATTATATTAAATTTCTTGTTCAAAACTAATATTAAAAACATTTCTTTTTCTTTTTCTTTTTCTCTCTGTTTCTTCCATCTAGTTCCAGCATCTTGTACAGACAAGTTCTCTTACTGTGATAAGATCCAACAAGCTCGGCTATGTTCCTACTCTTACTACCGCCAACGATGCTGCTTCTCATGCTATGAACAAAACAAAAAATAAAGAGTGGATACCATTTCTCTCCACTTCTCCGCTTCTGTTGGTATGGAGTGTTATATCTGAGATGGTAGAAGACTGGTAGCATTTGGTGCATTTATTCCTTTATATGAATAAAGTTTGCTGCAGTTTTTGCTACCAACAAAACAGAACACATGAAGACTGTCTATCACTTCTCTTCACGTCACTGCGTCTATTGATATGGAGCATTATATCTGATATGATAGAAGATTAGTAGCACTGGTGCATTTTATTCTTGAAAATAGACAAGTGCTGCTACAGATTTTGATCTGGGGGAAAAAAGAAGAATTTTGATGGCATGTATTTTAAAACGGCCTGTCTTTATCCTCAAAAATAAGAGATTAGGGGCACCATTTTTGCTTTGATCATTTAATGTTTGAGATATAATTTAAGATATCATTATAAAAAATATAAAGAATGTAGTTGCAAAGCCATCCCACTATTCATCGAGGCGTATGAAGTTTGAAGGGATCCGGTAACTTTGTCTTAGATCCTTCAAAAAAATCCTTGATTTAGCTCATGCTGCAAACCTTTAGGTCAGTCAGGAATCCCATGACTTTTACAAGCCGATCGCCTGTCTGATTATCAAGATATTTATGATTAAAAATCACAATTGAATTTTGCGTTTGCCAAACGGTTTTCATGACACTTCAGTCTATTGGGGAAAACGAGTATGGTAAAACTGGTCACTCAAAGGTTTTTACTTTTTTGAGGCACTTCTTGATCATTTTGAAGTGCATAACAGCTTATCACAGACACTGATAACATGTAGGGCCGTGCATCTCAGATTTAACATTGTTAAACGATCCCTTTAAATGTCAAATCAGACATTCTTTTTTATATTTTGGTTTTTATCAAACTTACAACTTTTAAATAAACAATGTGCCTTAATAGATCTGTCACATTAATGCTACTTTAGAATGGTGCTTTTGGTGAAATGTTCAGACGAGCAATTATAATACTTCATCAACTCGGAATGGGTTAGAGTTGTTTTGTTCATGTTCTTAAATTCTATTTATATGAGCTTATTTACCTTGAAATTGTAGTAAGATGTAAACCTGGGCATTGTGTTTACCTGGATATACTATGCATGTGGCAGAGACTGTTCTCATATCTTGAATGTATTTTAAACTGTAAAACGTGGTGCTTAGTAACATAAGATGTATTTTTACCATGCTTCTTTTTCTCTTTCATACAGTAATACATTTTTGTACATTTATACAAAACGGCTCTCTAAATCTTTGTGAGTGGTTTCAAGCTATATACATTCTGTAATGTATGCATACTCTCTGCAAAGTGTTTTGACAAACGTTACTGCTCAAATTTTGGATTATAGGAATGTAGTGTATGATGAAGTCACATTTGACTTATCTTTTGCAATTTGATTTTTCGACTTTGTCATTCAGACAATTTGTTATCATCCCATACAATTTAATTATTTGTGCGTGTGCCCCGTGCTTTCTTTCTCCGTCAAACAATATAATTGTCTGTTCTTTATCAAAGTCTTATCAAAGGAAATTGGTCATTACATTTGTCAATTATGGCATCTGTTAAGGCCAACAGCCAAACTAACTTTTTTTGGAAAGATTTTGATGTTTCAATGGAGCCGGGTAGAGACCATTAACAAATATATTTTCTAGACGCTGTTGTATTAGGACTTTAAGAAAAGAAGTTAAATCTCAAAGGAAATGTATCATTATGCGAATCTTCCTCAGTTTCTTCCTCTTTTGCTTCTGTTTGAGCTATTATTGAATAGAACAGCATTATTTTTATTCAATTCAGCACATTTTTAATTTAATTCTTGGAGAAATGTTCCGAAGTTTATTTTAATCTCAAAGATTTGCAAGTTTGATTGTACTTCTGTTTGAACTATTATGATAAATCTTAACCTTTGAAATGCATTTGATCTTTGTAAATTTTGTGCTTTTTAAATTTTGTTGTGTAGTTGTATTTGTAGAGACAACAGAAAGTTGTTGAATAGCTTTTATTTTCTAGAATTTGCTGCCAAGTATTTAGTTTTAAGTTTATTTTATCTTTCCTTTCTCTGGGTTATATTTGTTTTTATAAGATTATATTCAGGTACGAGCCTGTGTTAGGTTGTAAGTTATATTGCAATTTCTGTGTTATCCATTGTATGTTATTTATGTATGTAATACACGAGACCAATAGTGTACATGTAATTATATTTCTAAACAACTTGTGCTTTTAGTTGTTTATCTTCTAAATTATGACCTCCATTGTGGTCCTTCATAAAGCTTTTATATATCTACAACTCAATAAAAATCAACTTCAATGATGATTCGAATTCAAAGGTGAATAAAAGGTATTCAGTTGTTTAAGAAATAGAAAATTAAATAGACATCCCTAGCATATGTACTTATCAAGTTTGGAAAAATATGAATATATTTTTAGATTGCTTTGGAGAGATTTCAGCATGGTTTGGTTAGATTAACCTGTATCCGAATGGAAACGGACAAAAACATATTTATATTGAAAAAGATTATATTTTAGACCTCTCCTTAATGTGATGCTTGATTAAAAAACAATATATGTGTAATTTATGACTCATGAAATATATCTTAATATGAGGTCATTTTCTGTGGTTGGTGATAACATTGTGGATGATTAGCTCATTTATATATCATTGTAAATATGGTTGTTTTGACCAGTAAAATGTATATTATATTCTTTAGAAAATAAAATGCCTCCATTTGGTTTTCTTAAGATGCTGTCTTTCTTCTTCCTCCTTCAGATCAGACAGGGTTCATTCCTACTTGTTGACAGAGAAATAAATTTAAAATAATGGGAAGGGATAAGGTAGTGATGATGATGGTGATGAATTATGATAATGACAGAGCTAATGATGATGATGTAAGTGGTGGTGCTGGTGATGATGATTGATGATGATAATAGTAGTGATGATGGTAATGAAGATGATGATTTGTGATGATGGTGGTGGTGGTAATGAAGGAGATGATGACGATATAAATTGTGGTGATGATAATGAACTGTGAAGATGATGGTAATGATGATGATTAGGATGGTGATGATAGTCTTAGTAGTTGTGATTTGATAGAGTTCAATATATTTGCATTAGCAACGAAATAATAAGTCACTACTGTGATATACTTCTTTTTCTTCTTCCTATTCTCCTTCTTCATCTTATTCTTCTCCTCATTCTTCTCCTTCTCCTTCTCCTTCTCCTTCTCCTTCTCCTTCTCCTTCTCCTTCTCCTCCTCCTCCCCCTCCGTCTTCTTCTCTTTCTTCTTCTTCTTCTTCTTCTTCTTCTTCTTCTTCTTCTTCTTCTTCTTCTTCTTCTTCTTCTTCTTCTTCTTCTTCTTCTTCTTCTTCTTCTTCTTCTTCTTCTTCTTCTTCTTCTTCGTCACCTTATTCTTGGGTTACTGGATCCGTCCCCGAACAAGAGGACTTTTTGTGATTGCATGATGACACACATTGCTTTGGGGATTATCAGAATTTCTTATTCTTTAGATGATTTTTATGTTTCGTCAGCAAATTTCGCACGTTTCTTTAATACATCATGGATCTTTAAACATGAGTTATCATTACCAGACTTGATTCGGGGGACATTCATTACAGCAGTTGGCACAAAGAGGCAGGATTCCAAATTATATCCATATGGTTGCTAATGTGAAAACATGCTTTTCGTGTGATATTCAACCTACCTTCTTTATATTTCAGTTTCCCCTTCTCTCTCTTTCTCTCTCTCTCTCCCTCCTCCTCATCTTTCTATGTATCTCTCATTCTCTCTCTCTCTCTCTCTCCCTTTCTCTGTCCCTTCTCTTTTTATTCTCTCTTTCTCTATTTCTTTCTTCTGTATCTCTCTCTCTTTCTCTATTTCTCTCTTCTGTACCTCTCTCTTTCTTTTATCTCTATGTCTCCCCCCTCTCTCTCTCTCTCTCTCTCTCTCTCTCTCTTTCATAATATGTCTGTCCCTCATCCTCTCTGCCCTTTCTCTCCTTATTCAAATGGCCAAGTCTCTTTCTTCTGGAATTTAAGAATTGGAAAATTTACACAATTTCCCAACCAGTCAAAAAGCAACACGGCACTTTGTATGATACCGAGAGGGTTAAATATCCGTAAGGGAGAAATAGGGGTGGAGAGAGAGAGAGAGATAGAGAAAAAAGAGAGAGAGAGAGAGAGAGAGGGGGGGGGGGGGGGTGCCATACACAACAGGTGAATGCCTTGATTCTAACGACAGTTGATTAGGATACCAGAATACTATAGAGTCCAATAAATAAATCTGGGTCATCGGATACAAGCTTCAAGTACCTCACCCCATTCTCTCTCTCTCTTATTGAGATGTATGACTTGCAATCGTGGTCTAGATCTCTCTAGCATCTTGTATTTCCTTCATTTGTTCATGTTCATTATTTGCCCTTATACCCCGTAATTAATCATTCATTTTACAATTGATTCCATGAGAGGAAAAGGGGCCCAACTCCATGAAAACTGATTCTAAGATATTTTGTTATACTTATAGAAAATAAAGAAGAACAATGGCCCAGTGATAGAGCAGTGGTCTCGTAACAGGTAGGTCCCGGGTTCGATGCGCTAGTGCCCTTTGATATAAGGCATTGATAGTCATTAGTTACCGGTAGTGTCTTGGAGGGGAATTAAAGACGTCGGTCCCCATGTTGCTTATTTATCAGCATACACAATATTTCTTCGTAGTCAGGTAAAACCAACCAACAAATATAATAATGAAATAGTATAGGCTCTAGAAACTTATTTGTTTGATTATTCCAATTCCAGACAGCTTTAAGTAATGAACGAACAGGGTCTTTAGGACAAGAAAAAAGAAAAAAGAAAGAAGTGCAAAAAGACAAGATGAGAGAAAAAAAACAGACTACATGCTAGCAAAATACATCAGAGCACATTTATTCCTGGGTAGGACGGTGTCTCTGCTGAGATATCAGATTTTACCCATCAATCGTTATCATACCCAAGGTTGATCCCTATCATAGTAATTTAGTCACAATAGACAAGTTTGAAGGATAATTTGAGCATAGTTCAATGACTGTGGCTGATCTTCTCCTGGCTCCAAAACGATGATCTGAGGGGCTTACAATGATAGACCTATCCTTAAAAGGACATAAGATTTTCATTTTTTAAATGAAACTTCTGTTCCTTTGTTTATAATGCAGATGCTATTGTGTGATCTCTTTTTGTTCACAAGTGCGCCTTTGATTGCAAGTGGATTCGGCGCCATATAAATCTCATATATTATAATATTATCATTATTAATATCGATTTAGACACAGAAATGTTGGAGCATGGATAATTTAGGCCTATCGATTTGATTAAAAAAGATAATAATTAAAAACTTGATTCAATGGTATATTTTCTTAGAGTGGGGGGGGGGGGGGGGCTCAACCAACCCTTGCTACCCCTTGGAAATCACACTAAACAAGATAGAAAAGACTCAATAGACTGGTGCATTTAATACCATTTGAGACGTACGAACATAACAAGGACATAATATCCGATCATGATTTGGAATTATCCTAAAGTTGATTCATTAGAAGTCTTGGTGATCGTGTAAGACAGTGTGGTGCACCTTGAGTACGCAACCCCACAATATGGCTCCGTTGCTGTTGTTGTTGCTTGCTTGCTTGCCAGATATTTTGGAGAATTGTGCCCCCGTCTTTAAAGACCGTCAATACTACTGGGCCAGAAGGGATTAGACCACACAGCGAGGTCACTGACAGGTGGCTATCTCATTAACTTAGCTCTCAACTAACATAAGAAAAAGAGGATCATGGGGGACCAACAGGCACCGATTGGGAAGTTTTCTATATAGATGGAGCAAGTAGCTACAAATAGGACAGTGGGGTTTAAAGAAAAATTCCGGATCCGCCCCTGGGCATGTGAATCACTATTAGTGACAACAAATTAAAAATGTCAAAAAATGACTTTGAGGTTATGCGTAATGGGCATAACGGCAACAGCTTCTATGATTTAAAACATATTTTAGAAACAAAAGTGTTAGTCTCGTGATTATGATGGTTATGACACGAACATGATTGAATAATCAACTAGCCTCATGCAGGGTAAATTGAATATCCTAGGAAACATTGATTAGGATCATTTCATGAGATATTAATTTGGAGTACTATTAATTTGAACAAAACAAAAAATCACAAACAGACTGAATCTCGGAGAGTTGGCAGAACCATGACCTTTCAAAAGCTGACCATGATCCTTCGCTGTGAATTTTATCTGAAGTATGACCGTGAAATCGATTTTAGATTATTAATAATGAATATGGGCTCTGAAAGATCTCATTCATTTATTATTAAGGATTGTTGCTATGATATGATTTCAAGCGTGACAGTGATAATAATTTTCAGAAAATACTTCACGAAGAGTTTGAATTTTAGATAGATAAAGTATATTTAATTGAAAGAATAGGGACCCGGAAAGAGCTAATTAAAGGGCAAAATGGAAGAAAACGGTTCCACAATGCTCATAATTCATTAAGATTGTGTGCGTGAAGAATAATTCAAGCGTTACTGTTACATTGAGGTTATAACGACAGAGAATAAAGACCTTAAAACCCCGCGAGAAAAAGATGTTGAATAAAAATCATGTATGGTCAAACGAAACCCCATTATTCATTTCAAAACCAGATTTGTATCCGGGATAATTATTTCAAGCATGACTGTGAAGTTGACATCAGAATCACAAAGAGCTCGAGTTCTCGAGAGTTTTAAACATAGTGAACTGAAATAACGAACAGCCGAAGAGTCCAAAAATTGATGAGGATCCTTTCCCCGGCGTGATATTAATTTCAGAAGTTGTTAATAAAAGAGCAATGAATCACTGGAAATTGTGTTAGAAGAACCTCGTTATGAGCTGAGAAGAACAACGAGAGAATATGTGGTGGCGGATCCAGGATGCTCCAAACGGATGGGGGGGGGGGAGGCATAAGTCGGAAAAGCCCCTGAAACAAAATTATTACAATTTTTTCAGGTGAATTATGGCGGGTACGCAAGGGGGTACATTTCTCTTTTTGACTTGATGTGTACTTAAGATATGCCGGATTATCTGTTTTGTCGAGGGGGGGGGGGGGTTGGTACGTGCCCCCTTGCCCTGGATAGGCCTACACCACTGGAAAAATAAAGAAAAGTTTGCATATTGGCCTACTATAAGATGAAAGAAGTTTGTGTTAGATAAAGACAAATGAGAAGGAAAATATGAACAAAGGCGCTAAGCCAGGATTAAAATAATGGGGGAATTCAAAAATCTTTCTAACTCGCAAGGGGGAGAGGGTCATCACATTTAGGTGCTAAGTTACTTTTAAAAATCTCTGACAAGCAAAAAACACACAAAAAAACAGTCACCCCCCCCCCCCCCGCCCCCTCCCAATGAAGAAAAAAAGGGTGCCTTTGGGGTTAAAAACTTGGCAAAAAAGAACACAATTAAAGAAGCACGTTTCCTTTATAACGACATGTCACAATAGGGGGCACCGTGGTCGGGGTTGTACCCCCATCTATTACTGAATTACCCCATAAAAAGGCAATCAAACTGATAGAATAGATGATTGAAAACCAAAATGAGAAGAATTTAATGAGATAATACGAATTATATTGTATGAACATGAAATGGGGAATGAGCAAAGACTTCAAAGCTACCGAAGTTTTTATTATCAAAGCTGCGTGGAAACAGCGTAGACTAACCCGAAATTGTTATTGCACGTGAATTTGCAGGAGATTAATCCGATTATAATAATATATTTACAATCTATGAGGGAAGAGAAAACGTAGATAGTGCCACCCCTTAAAACAACGAAAATAAAAGAAAAGTAAGGGTATAAACGAGGTAGGAAAGAAAAGATGAAGCACAATGATCTTACGACAAATTTTGTGTAATTGCTTGCCAGTGAATTGTGTTACCAAAAAAGAACCTCAAAACCATTTGTTTTATTTTTTTGCTTGTCAAATAATTTGTTGACTTTTTGAAGATAATGTTGTATAATTGAATCAAAGGATTTTACGCTTTCAAGTTTTGTAAAACAAAACTTGAAGAAGATTCCGAATGATTTTATAGACTTCTTGAAGAGAAGAAGCGTTCCCTATTCCTTAATCATTCACATATTTCTGCTCCTCGTTTTAATGTGATATGGGCAAAATTTTCTGGCAACACTACAAGAAAATGTAATTGAATTATTAATTCGTATGACTGACATATTGGTGTACGATAACATTAATGTTTAAAGAACAAAATTAACTTTACAAGGGAAAATTCTAACTTTAGAATCAATGACCGTGAATCATGATGAAGAAAATGAACATCAATTAAAGGAATCTCTATCTGCGACAGAGTGTTACTTCCTTGCCGTTGATCCGAAACTTCCCGAAATGTTTTCAATATTCAACGAACCATCCTCTTACCCGAAGCAAAATTAATGTAGCTGTCATTTTCATTGTTTATGTAAGATCTGTTAATTGTCGATGGTAAATGTCTTTCTACAGCCCCGGGTCTCCAACGCGCAGACGTGGGATGGTGTTATAATGGTGTTATTGTCGATTAATTCAATTTCCTGTCTGTTCCCCAATTGTTCCAGACGTATATCATTATCTACTTTACACTTGATCCCATTTCTTGGCAACTTTCCTGAATTCGCATCTCGATCCCGACACCTTATACATTCCCAAGTAAGCTAGCAGGCGTCGAACTTCTTTCGTTGCCAAATCAAAATGGAATTTTCATTAGAAAGTAAACACCTCATCATCTGAAAGTATAGCTGATACCATGTTAAGATTAATTCATTCATCGCTGCACGGATATTTTCATATTTTGACGAGGCAAACTATACAAACAGAACCTCCCCTCTCTCTTCCTCTCTCCCTTTCTTCCGCCATCCTTCCCTTCCTCCTCCGTTCTCCGCTTCTCTTTAAATTAAAGTAGAGAGGGGGGAAGGAAGGGGATGGAGGGAAAGAGACTTCTTTCCCTCCATCCCGATCCCCTTCCTGCACCCTCTCTACTTTAAGAAATCTTAATTTCTCGCTTGAAAGAAAGGTGTATAAAAGACATAATTGACGCACACAGCTGTCAATTTCAGACTTGTCCATATATTTTAAATTTTCTTTTTGATATAGTATATGTCGGCGATTTCAAATTTTATTTACCTGAAGAAATATTTTAGGAAAATGTGCAATGACCGCATGCTGCATGTTTTTAGCCTGTATAGATCTCTTAGTTTTCATTAACAACTTAAAAACAGTCTTTAAAAATGATTTTATTCTTTGGCCACAACAGAAACTTAAAATAGACGTGTCATGGTGTAGCAAATGTTGTTAGACGATGGTGGATCACATGCTTCATGTTTCGAGTCCTACTGCAGCACTAATGTCCTTTGGCAAGACAGTAATCTGCATTTGTCACTCTCCACCCAGGTGTAGTAAATGAGTACCTGGTAGGAATGTATTCCTTGAATGCTTTGAGCACCTAAGGGCAGCTGGGCTAAAGCCATGGTGGTAATGATAGTACTTTGTAGGCACCTTTAGCATCCCCTAAGATGGCGCAATGGAAATGTAGCTATTATCATTATCATTAAATAATTATAATCTGATGCATTTCACACACATGCAATTTAGGGTATGAACTTTTGTGACATGAAGATATGAAAATACCACTTCAAAAGATGATTGTTTGCTCAAAGATATTTTATTCAGCGTAGAAAGAAAATAGATATTACAGCACACTAACAAAATAGCGTATACAAATAGATATTACTTCTGCTTCTCAAGATGAAAGACATAATTTATCAAGGTTTTGTTTGCGGAATATAAAATTCAAGGTCACAGTATATTGTTCAAGGTGAAGTGAAACACAGGAAGAATACTAGTATCATATATTAATGACATGATTGAATACTCATTATAAACATATCATATCTAATAATTATATTAACATACATGTATATTATGTCTCTAATTACTTCTCATATTACACCCCCTCCCCCTCCCCTTTCTCTCTCTCTCTCTCTCCATACAGAGATTTCACTTTTCTCCACCGAGACATTTCACAGAATAATCTATCAAACCATGATTTATTATAAATATATCAGTTATCCCCCTCCTTTCTCTCTCCCTCTCTGTCTCCCACTCTCCCTTTAGATATTTCCCTTTTCTCTATACCGAGACATTTCACAGAATAATCTATCAAACCATGATTTATTATAACTTTATCATTTAACTCCCCCCCCCCCTTTCCTTCTCTCTCTCTGTCTCTCCCTCCAGATATCTCCTTTCTTCACTGAGACATTTTCCCAGCATAATCTATAAAACCATGATGTATTATAACTCTATCATTTATCCCTCAATACTGCTTTCTGTACATTCTATTTTTCTTTCTTTCATGTAATACATTTCCGTGTTAATACCACTTTGGGTAAGAACAGGTAATTTAATTTATGTCACAATTTACTTATACATTACTTTATACATCTACCAGTGTTTCGAATATGGAATGATAACACATGATAAATATTTCAAATCTATTCAAATCTATCCTTAGGCAAGGTTGTAACAAAGTGAATGGTTGTATACAAATCTGATCACAGACACCCCACATACACAAGAATACAATAATGATTAAACCATCTATTGAGAGGCAGGAGGGTGTTAAAGTCTGTAAAATTGTAAGCGGTTAACGCCCTTCTGGCTCTCAAGAGACAAAACTGGGAATTGTTGCTTTCAACCAGCAGTCAGTATGTGTTAAAAATTCAGCCTTTATCTCATAAATATTTCCATTTAGCATTAATGGCAAAATGCACATGATTTTCTTTGACCAGGCTAAACAACAATCTATTAAAATGATAAGAAGCTCCACAAAAATCTCTTATAAAGAAGCTTGAAGGATAAGGCATAAAGCCGCTATTTGTACACTGCAATAAAAACACAGTAAAGGAAATCATTTGACTAAACACAGGTAAGTCTGGCATTTAGAATTCATGCAAAATGGATTTCATTCTGGTAGTACAGAAAAAAAAACTAAAAGCAACCGAATAAAGGAATAAAGAAATAAAAGTGTTGGGGTTAAGAAATATCAAACTCCATTTCCACATGTCATCTGACAACAGATTTATGGCTCTTCGGGGCCCTTTTGCACAAAACTCACCATCGATGGTTACTTTGCCATCAATGGTAACTACCATGGAAACCTTGATTTTGATTGGCTGTTGAGCCCTGTTACCATGGTAGTGTTGCCATTGATGGCAAAGTTACCATCAATTGTAAGTTTCATGCAATGGGGCCCTGTTTGTTCTTTTACGGAATGGGCCTTGGGCATCCGGCAGTGTAGCCACTACTCTCTTCATGAGTCTGAAAGTCGATGGAGACATCGTTGATCACCAGTGATGACAAGCAGCCATTGAATGGGGTTCTGATGATGCCGGGAACAAGCGGAATGTTAGCAGCATCTAGGAATTAAATAAAAAAGAAAATACCATTAATATAGCTTTCCAAAGGCATATAAGTAGGAGTACAAAGTTAATAATTTTCATTTACTTTCTGCTTGATTATACATTTAGTTACAATACTACTACTAAAATTTGTTGTGTCATCTACAGCACTCAATTCAATAACCTAGTGCCATAAGCTACATGTATGGAAATGTCCATGCATTTCAAGCACATTTTCTATGATGCATAATATCTATCAGTGAAGATAATACATTAACAAGAGCTGATTCCTGACAATTCTTTGCAACCGTGTCTAAAAGGCTACTTACCAGAGATTCCTCCGATGTATAGCAGTCTATTATTGATGACCGCAAACGTCTGGCTGCTGACCGTTAGACTGTCCGTTGGGTTCTCATCAATGGTCATCTCAATCCGACCCCTACGAACGGTCAGTCGGATGGTGTGGGGGTTACCATCGCAGAGATCGTATCCACTGGACAACTGAGTTGACCGTAGGATGACGGACGTAGAGGTACCAAGACCAACCACTGCTCTGGCCTAAGAGGAGATAGTAAGAAATATTTGTATTAATAATCAAAGTTGGTGGTGTATTGTGAGTTCTGACAGGTCAAAGGGGTATATGTATTTCATATGTGACCAGGCACCACAAAACCACCACTAATTTTCAGTTAGAGTTCAATAAAGATGTAGCCTATTGGGTCAGAATGGAAGTTTAGCTTTTAGCATTTTCCTACAAGAATATACTTTCTTCTATGTAATTCAAAGTCTAAAGCTGAAAATATCCTCTTTTAGAAACAGACCTAAACTTAAAATTCATATCTGGCAACTTTTTTTGTGGTTTTGAGGTGCTGTGTCACTCATGTGGCAGCGCAGCCGTATATTGATCATGGCTCACCCAAATGTAGCCAAAATCTTTTAATTTAATTTAATTTAATAGGTTTGATCAGAAATCTTCGAATTTAAAATGGAATGAAAGGATCTTTATTCATACATTTATATTAACTGCCAACTCTAAAATTTCACACGTCATCATGAAAAGAGGAGAAGCAGCCAGACCATCCTTGCGCATATTGCTCCCCAATCCTATCCTTAGTGGCTGCACGAGCGGCCAAAAACAATGAGGAGCCTACAGGGAAAAGCCTTTTCAAACCATTTTTTAGCACACTTTTTATCAGCATGCCCCGACCCTTCCTTTTAGAGAGGGGGGCTACTAACTTCCTCTCAATAAACAAAATGTGAGGCACATGGAGAAAAGGAATCCAAGAACCCCCAAGCACCCCAAAACCCTCGGCCTCCCAGAAATTTTCTTCCTGCCACACACGAGTATCTTGTAATATGTTTATTTAAATACATAATCTGAATAAAATGTTATAATCTTTTTGGTAAGTTGATAATGAATATGTACATAAGGTCCATTGCTTATGTCTTACCGTTCCATCCACTATCTCTAAGGTGATAAAGTTTTGAAGGTCAGCAGCGAGGGCTAGTAACAAAGCGTTCTCGTCAGTGGTGGTAATGGTCAATGAAACTGACCAAGGACTGACCAAAGTATAGGTCGAATCTGCAAGACAAGGACAATTACCGGTAGATGAAATACGAAAAACACAACAAGAGAAGGGTGCCATAGGCATTACACATTTTTTTCCCTGAGAGAATAGAAAGACTAATGTTAAAATTTTCATGGAATTAAATGGAACTAGTGATAGTGCTTAAAGAGGTATTGATCTTCAATTTTCTCTTCATGTACACATAGTCCCTCACACAGGAAAAAACAATCTTTAGATCTTTAACAGCTTACCCTTTTAATTTTTGATTGGCTATGTAACATCATAATTGCTACCATTTTTTTGCATAAAGTAAAATACTTAGATGTGATCTAAGAAAAACTTGGGCCAGTTTACTTAGTTAAGCTAAATTCCAAATAAAGATGATGGTCTCTGTATTACCAACAGTATTCTGCGTTTACAAAGCACTTCATACATCGATGATGTCCCTATGCACTTACAGATATTTTATTTCCCTGGTCAGCAGATTCAGGCGTGCCTGCACACAAATGTATGCACATTCTCCACTCCCTGGGGAGCATTCCAGCCAGGCACCATTTTACAAATGCTTACAATGCTTTCGCATTCTTTCGGGTACCCATTTAACAGTTGGGTGGAGAGTGGAAAATGTAGGTTAACGTCTTGACAAAGGATGGGGATTTGAACCCTGGACCTTGTGATCTACAGTCAGTTGACTCATCTACTAGACCACAACCCCTCTACCTATTCAGTAGTCATTGGGTTAATTCATGTATTGAATTGATTGAAGGCCCCGATTTAAAAGGTTGTTTGATAATTACAGACATTAATAATATCCAGACCTGCCAACCTCTGGAGTTCAAAAACTGTATTCTTTAATCCCAAAAGTTGTATTTTACTGACAAAAGTTGTATTCTTAAAAATAAACACGGACTGTTACGCGGATCAATGCCTCTTGCAGTTCCTACATACAGAAATAATATAAATAAACATCCCCAAATTGCCAATGTGACATGCTTGAAGGATTATACTTTACAGGACAGAATGGGCATTTTGCCATTTCAAAAGGAGTTTTGTTGACTTACTTAGAAGAAGCCATCCGCTGCCATCAAAGTGACCTCCTCTACCAATTGGGTTAACCCGACATTGTGTAAGGTTAGCAGAGTCGTCACCTGGAGAACTTTTGAGATGAAAGACAATCCATACATCAATTGTTTGTTTGACCTGACTGCTAGCTAAAGCTTGTGTATGCTTGTAAGTAAGCACTCAGGGGACCGACAGCTTTAAATCCTCTCAGAGGGACTTGGTAATGAGAATTCAAAGGGCACTAGCGCATTGACTTGGTTTTGAACCCAGGACCTTCCTGTTATGAGACTACTGCCCTACCACTGAGCAATTGCGCCTCTTACACCATCTAGCCCCATTTAGACAAGACATGGTATACTGCTTGAAAGATTGTACTATACATGCTACACTAACAGAATGCTGAACCACAACACTAGACCAAGTACTATACTTTACCGTCCAACTTTTACAGTATACCTAACCTAAAATTCAATTGCAACCTTTACCCTATATTAATAATGAAATAAGGCTTAGATCAGAGCCGCCTGTTTCATAAAACTTGTTATCCATAACAACTGCCACAGATCTATGACAAATCTGCTCACAGCCAATCAAATGCAAGCATTTCAGTAGCTTATAACAACTATTGCGTCTTGTTATTGATAACAAGTTCTATGAAACAGTGCCCAGATGTCACTGCATGGCACCTGAGTTGGATCACCCACTGTTAAAATATGCTTCAAGAGAAAATCATGTACGTGTATAATCAATGGGTCATACTTATGCAACCAAACAAAATGGTGGACTTTATAAGATCTGATTAGCTTCTGTACTCCATGACTTACAAGTACTTGAGTGGTAACTGATCTTGATAAGGCTTATAGCCGGAAAAAGCACTCTACCGGTACATGGTACATTTCAAACACACACAAACCATTTATAATGTGTAATTTTGCTACTTATAATAATAATAATAATAATAATAATAAATAATAATAATAATAATAATAGGCATTTCTATAGCGCCGTCTATCTAGAAATTCTATTCCAAGGCGCATTAATTATTACCCCGGCTTTAGCCAATAGCAGCCATGACAGCGTTCCAGCATTTCAAGGAATTAATTCCTGCCAGGTACCCATTTACATCACCTGGGTTGAGTGTGGCAAATGTAGATCAATGTCTTGCCAATGAATGGACATTAATCGACAGTCTCCCTCCCCCCAAAAGAAAATAATAATGGACTTAATTTATAGCGGCCTGACTCAATTCTATATTCCTTGACTTACTTGAGTGGTATCGGGACCTCAGTCAAGGTCTCTGTACTTATAACCAAGTCTCGGATACAGCCATTGAAACTCCCCAACTGTTGAGGGAAGCAGACACATTGATATAAATAAGAGTTACAAGTATATGGAATGAATGAACATTTAATGCCATGCCTCACATATATTGTTATAACATACTGTAAAACCAAAAACTATTGTGACATGAAACTTTTCGAGAATTGTAAAAGGTGAAGTCCACCCTCATATTAACTTAGTTTTATTAAAAGCAGAAAAATGAGAGAAATGAATTAGTAAAAATTTGAGCAATATCCAATTAAAAATAGGAAAGTTATTAATTGTTGAAGTTGTCATCAGTGAAACACAAATTGGCAACACTGTGGCGTATCTTTCGAGCTCCTCTACAATTTGGTGCAGAACATTTCATAATTGAATTGAAATTTCATTTTCAATTCCCACTAGACATGTTGCGTGGGATTTGACAAGCAAAGTAAAGAGAAGTTTAAAAAACATTGTCAACTCACAGCGCGGTTCAGTGGATGACTTCCCTCTTGAACTTGAGGTCCGAGGCCACCGACAAAGAGAGACGTCTCTACTGCAAGTCTTGCCATCTGGTTGCTAATCTGGCCATGGTTAAGACCAATGTAATCCTTGGATTCTTCTACAAAGAGGACAACGAACCCGTTGATCTTCAGAATGGTTATCTGTAAAGAGAGGATAAAAAAATTAGAAATTAAGATTCTGTTTTCATTATGAAAAGCAAAAACAGCTAGACCAGAGATCCTAACAACATGATTGGTTGAGTGCAGTCGCGTGTAATACGTTTATTGAAACTATCACAAGTTTTTTCTCTAAAAAGCATTCAGTAATTTTCAGTACAGTCCAACAACTTTTATTAGAAGGCATTAGAAACTCATTAGAGGTGGTGTTTCCTTTCTAATTCTCAACTTTAGCCCTGGACCAAACATTATTTCTAAACCTTATTCTAAACCTAACGTGAAACCCGTGGAAACCCAAATGCAACACAAACCCCTATATCTCCCACAAAAGTGAGGCCAGAGCAAATGCTGATCATAGTAAGAGCTTGTGATCCATCTTACCGTTCTCCACTGAGCATCGTTGTACTGGAAGGCAGTGGTAGCTTGAACGGTGGTTCTCGTCTGATCCACGATGATTAGATTCAGGTAACCATTCATCATGATCAGAGCCAAGAACTGATTCGGTCTGGCATAATCGTTGGCAAGGTACAGCAGGATGCCATCGGGAGACAGGGCACGGAATTGGAATGTGAGGACAAACCTGTCGAGGGTGTGAGGTAAAATAATGGGAAAAGAATGGTAAAATGATGGTGTAACAATGGTAAAAGAATGGTAAGTAATGGCAACATATAAGTTCATAAGTGATGAAAGAATAACAAAATAATGGAGAAATAATGGTAAAATTATGATAGAGTTGAAAAAAGGGCCAAGAGCCTTATAATTTCTCATTTACCATAAACAGTATTGTGATTAGAATTCTAAATGCTATGAATCATGAAGGAATTTGGAAGCTATAGGTAATTCTATATTTGATAAGCGCCCATTTCAGTAAAACAAAATAATTATTCAAGCTGCTTTAAATTCAAATAAACTTATATCTTAAACTAGATGGAATTTTGACTGCGCGCAGTCGAAAATGATAGAGCAATTTAAACAAGTTTGGAGTTTAAATCTCCAGTGGTTCTTGAGATATCATGATAACAATCTCAATGTATGGAATTTCATAAGTTGACCTCTGTGACCCTTGACCTTTGACCTACGTGCTCTAAAATCTAATCAGATTGTCTTCCTATGGTGATACACACTATCATTAAGTTTGAAATTTAAATCTCCAGAGGTTCTTGAGATATTATGATATGGTGATACATACTATCATTAAGTTTGAAGTGAAAATTCTCCAGTGGTTCTTGAGATATCGCGATAACGATCTCAATGTATGGAGTTTCATAAGTTGACCTCTGTGACCCTTGACCTTTGACCTACGTGCTCCAAAATCTAATCAGATTGTCTTCCTATGGTGATACACACTATCATTAAGTTTGAAGTTTAAATCTCAGTGGTTCTTGAGATATTATGATAACAATCTCAATGTATGGAATTTCATAAGTTGACCTCTGTGACCCTTGACCTTTGACCTACGTGCTCCAAAATCTAGTCAGATCGTCTTCCTATGGTGATACATACTATCCTTAAGTTTGAAGTTTTTACATCTCCAGTGGTTCTTGAGATATCATGATAACAATCTCAATGTATGGAATTTCATAAGTTGACCTCTATGACCCTTGACCTTTGACCTACGTGCTCCAAAATGTAATCAGATTGTTTTCCTATACACCGATTCGGGCGACTTCTGGTGGAAGTGCGCCCTCATAAGGTGACGCCATAACTGGGGAGCGTCTGACTGCAGCTAGCTAGCTTACATTGCAACGGGTATGCTATACCTATACCGAACCTCGCCCAGGCCGGCCAGGGTCGCTGCTCCGCTAGCTAGTAACCGCTCTCGAGCTCTCTGTACTGTCAGCTGGATCGGAGAAGCCCCCCAGTTATAGCGCTGCCACCGGCGGGCAGGTACATAAAACCCCCAAACCGAATCGGTGTATAGTGATACACACTATCACTAAGTTTGAAGTTTAAATCTCCAGTGGTTCTTGAGATATCATGATAACAATCTCAATGTATGGAATTTCATAAGTTGACCTCTGTGACCCTTGACCTTTGACATACGTGCTCCAAAATCTAATCAGATCGTCTTCCTATGGTGATACATACTATCCTTAAGTTTGAAGTTTAAATCTCAAATGGTTCTTGAGATATCGCGCTAACAAACTCAATACAAGGAATTTCATAAGTTGACCTCTGTGACCTGTGACCTTTGACCTACGTACTCCAAAATCTAATCAGATCGTCTTCCTATGGTGATAAATACTATTCCCGAGTCTTAAGTTTAAATCTTAAATGGTTCTTGAGATATTGTGATAACGGTCAAACGGGACGGACGTACGGACGGACAACCCGAAAACATGATGCCTCCGGCACCACCTTCGGTGGCGGAGGCATAACAAGGTTTGAAGTCTTCCTAAACACACTAAAATTCATTTCATGTACAGCAATCTACAAAATCCAATGTCTGATATTACAAATAAATGATATCTGCCCTACTATTTTTGGAGAAAATGTTTAATAGGTGAGTAATTAGCGAAGAAAGAGAGTAAAGGATAGTAAAGTTGAGTAAGTGAGTCATGTGTCAAGCAAAGCAAAGATCTCCTACATGACGAACAATTCAGAACGACATTAAGATAATAAGGTTTTCTGTACATAAAATTCAATCACCCAAATTCAAAATGAGCTATAACTCTTCTACCAACTCACGTTGATTCAAAGTACTTCCTCTGCTCACTGTTGAGTCCGATACCGAGATAACTCTGACTCGTCAAGCCAAACCTCACCACCCCCAGGGCCGAGGGGTACGTCATCACCTGGGTGGGGCTAGCACAGGACCTTGGCAAGCCATCGTCAGTGGGTGCGGGTGGGGTGGAGTAGGGGAGTGGTGGAAGGGTCATGACCTCGGGTTGCACTCCTGTCAGGGTCACTCCCAGGTAGCCGAGTACGGTGTTTGGGTCGTTGAAGTTGGGTGATCTGTTGAGTGGATGGGGAAAATGAAGATGTGAGTTTTGTGGTATCCTCAGATTTGAGGATAATTAATTGGTGGAGGAAATAACGCAATAATTTATCATGACCTTAATGGTGGAAGATTTCAGATGGAGATTGTAGATGGAGATTTTAGATGTCTCCGTCATAGGCACAACCCAAGACCAAAAGCTAAGATAATGCACGTCATCAAAGTTTTCCTGGTCTTGGTCTCAAGTACTATGGTATCAAATGCAATACTATGTAATGATGATATAAAGCACATAAATACATGATGTACTGTATATCTCTATGTAAATAGAACATACATTGCATTGTTTAAAAATGCATTTTTAAAACTCTGGAAGAAAAAGATAAAGATGTGTGTCATACCTGGTAGTCACATATGGACATAAGGACTGTCGAGAGCAAGGAGGGCACTAAATTCTATGTTAAAGTGTTTTAGTTTAACACCTTTATGCCCCCAGTAGACAAAAATACAGATTATACGTAAAGGAACTCACATGTCATTGATAAGGAGGTCGACCATGTCTCCCTGCAGGGACCGACGAACAGGAAAGTCTCCACCGATCAGGTTGGGGATGCTCGCCGTTAGGCCGCCGATGAACAGCAGGCCCTCTATGTCGATGCTTGCACTTGTCAGCTGTACAGCTCCGTATACCACCGGCAGGTCGTTCACTTTGAGTGACGCACTAGGAGAATGCAGAGAGTAAAAAGAACAAATGTTTAACTAAAATATTCTTGTTTTGAACAACTGAAAAGAGATGGTGAAAAAAAAAGATAGAGAGAAAGAATACGACAAGAAGAATATGGATATGAATAGAAGATCTGACCAAAGAAGAAAAACACAATATAAATTGAAAAGAGCAATAGATTTGAAAAAACTCATGCGATACTGTTTTAAGAAAGTATGATTTTGATAATAATTTGAGGAGAACAAAGGCATTGAAAGAAAATACCAATACAATAAAAACTATATCTAAATGCAAGTAAATGATTTTCCCCAGATTGATAATGAAACTGGATGGTGCTATTTCAAAAACTATATGTCTAGAACTACAATTATTATCTTTCAAGCTATTAAGCATTAAAAATGGATACTATCAAGAGGATAGGACATGTACATTATTATAGTAGGAAAGTGATTTCCAACTTAAGATCTTATCGGGAAGTTTAGCACCCACTGTAATGAGAGAACTAGATGACAAGTATAAATTGTCCATAAACTAGCTGCCGAGATAAAGAGAGAAGGGTACAAGATAAATTTCTTACGTGAGTCCATTGAATGAGATGGTGACATCTTGCCACTGGCCTGTATTGAGTTTAAGTCCTCTCGTCTGCACTGGGTCTGATAAACCGTTACCAAGGTTATACTGCACGAAGATATTCCCATGGTACATGGCTACATATAACAGCTTGTTCTGAAAAATAGAAATGATGCAGAGGAAATCATGTTTACAGGGGGGTCCGTAAACCGTCAGGGCATTGGTCTAATACAGATTGTGCACACAGTGTGTGTGGGCAAGCACTGAATCCAATGACCGGGGTAAGAGTATATTTGTAAAGCACTTAGAGACATTTGTAATAAGCGCCATATAAAAATTAAATATTATTATTATTATTATTATGTCTTGATAACAAGAAACTTTCAAATTCATGTAACTGTTGCCAATTTTGGGAGTGGTTATAGAGATTTGCAGAAGCAGCAAAATAATTGATTCACAAAACAGAATTAATGTAAACCATAAAATGGCTGTAATCAACCATATATGAAATATTCTGGATTTATAGAACAGGATTGCAGAAGCAGAAATTACCATTACTCTATTACTATCGTCCTTGTTTTCACGAAGTGACAGTAGTGAGGAAAATCATAACGCAAAGTGAATGCAATTTTTTTTCACTACCGTCACTTCGTGAAAACAGCGACGAAATGAGTAAACAAAATTCTTTTCTCATTTTCATTTAAGAGTACATTTATTTAATCTATTTATTCTGTATCAGAAGTACAGTAGTTTTGATGAAATGGAACTGCAGACACTTGCCAATTCATGAAAAGTATATTTAAGCGAGGGTTAAATTAGTCTACTTTTGAGAGTATGGGCCAAATTGTTTATCAATACATCAGTAAATCTAAAACCATATTAAAGAGGGAGTCTACCCTGATATTAAGTTGGTTTTAATAAAAGCAGAAAAATGAGAGAACCAAATTATGTGAAAATAGCCTATAGATAAAACAGAATTAAACAGGTCAATAACACCACAATAAAGTATACTTACAAAGCCGACGGTATCATAGCTGTATAGGAGCAGACCATGTGGCTGGGTGGTCGTGAATCGAAGCTGAACAGTCTCTATACTTTGTGAAAAGACTGAAGTGCTGAGCGACATGTAAGCAAAGTCTCCATCAAAACTGATGCCTGGTACAACCTACAGATTATATGAGGGGCAAACAAGGATGTACACGTATCAGAAAGAGACTACATTCTGTCAAGATAAGTCAACCTTATATACCTCCTTTATGCTAAGATGCATTAGTATGTTACTAAATTACGTGAAGGTGGTCGATGAGTCAATCTTCTTGTTTTGGGCAAACATTTTCTTGTCTTGGTCCTAAATATTTCATAACTTTACCAATTGTCAGGATTTTTAAAAACCAAAACCATCAGTATTTTTTTCTTCTAAGCTACCACAGCTTTATGTCTTGGACTTGTCAGATAAAGTCAGGAGAACTCTTGCTCAGTCATGTTGTTCATTCTTGCAATCTACCCTGATGAGTGCAAGACGAAAACATTGAAAAATGTCTTTATGCACAGCTACGTGTACATGCATTCTTCAATTTTGTAATACCAGTTGTGATGTTTTCCCATCTTTTATTTATAGATAGATACAAAGCAATGACATACTTCTTAAAAAATGTAATCAATAAAGAAATGGCACGACATGATCACAATATTTCTGTTGATTTTTATGGGTAGATGCAAAAACATGGCTGTAATAATCTTCAGGATTGAGAGACATAGGAAAACCAGAAGATCTACAGAACTAATAACAAGTTTCTCCTCAATGTTTCACTTTTAAATTTGTTTCCAAACTTGACTCACCTCTTGAGGGTATTCGTTGAATGAGACGCCTTGGTATGGGAAACTAGATGTGTTTGTGATTTCTCTTGGGACTAGCTCAATGGAGGTACTGTTAGACAAGGCAACGTTCCGCATGTTTCCTGCAAAGCTAAGCTTCGTTGGCCCACGTCTGGTAAAAAGAAATATTACCAGTATTAGCATGAGATGCTTAATAATAGAATTTCAACAATAAATATACTTACTTACAATAAGCATCAGCATATTTTCAATACTAAGGATTTTGTTAAATTCCATAGTAATGAAAACTTGCTGATGTTTATCATTTCTGTATCACTCGTTCTCTCTCTCTCTCTCTCTCGTTTTTGTTGGGGGGGGGGGGCTGCTTTAACTACTGGTATGTTCTAATTTTACAAGATAATTTCTTTGGTATCCAAGAATCTGTTACAATGAGGTTCCACTGTATTCCCAAAATAAGAGGATTAAACAAACAAAAAATTACCTGATGTTGCTTTGCTGGACTGGATCTGCTCCGCCTACAAAGATCTTTGGAGAGAACTGGAGATTGGGAAAGGAGAGGGCTGCCAGGGTACGCCTGGTCGATGCCTCAAGTAAGCTGCTAGTTTCATTGGCATAGCGAAGCTCTAAGCTGTAGTGAGAACTGTTGAAGCTAGTCGTCACCTTTAATGAAAGAATTAGAAAACACACAAAAGTGAAATTAAATCCTGAGATTGCTGAAGAGTGTTAATGCATATCATCAACATGTACTGTTTGTGTATGAAGTGAGATACTGCCCAAAACTGAATTGTTTGTCATTCAAACATGTATGGTATATCAAATCAAAACTTAACAGCTTGTTGCACTGCATGGTGATAAATCCCATTGTCAGCTTTTAAAATGCGGCATGCCCCAAGGAAGCATTCTTGGTTCGCTCTTATATTTTTTGTATATAAATGACATTACGAATGTATTAGCTATATCAAAATGTACTTTGTTTGCTGATAACACCAGTGTATTTATAATATTATGTAACATAGCGATTTAGCTTGTATACCCTCCAATCAAATTTTAATCATGATAATGAAAAATTAATAACGCAATGGAATACAAAATGATAACAAAGAGATGAAGAAATCTTTACCCGGTAGTAACCAGAGAATTCATAACTTAATAACTTGTCTGTTAATGAAAAGAAAACAAATTATACGTTATCTATGAATAGGACATGATTTCATCAATATTTCCACGTGCTGCTTCTCTCCATATTTGTTACTTGTACACAAATGACAGAACACAGAAATAACTTGGAGATCTATTGATTTACCTGATACCACTGCCCATCATCGTACGCTCTGACACTCGGCACAGAATACCTGGCATTCCCTGCTGTGTTCATTTCAAAGATCACCTGACCATCAACAATGAAGATGCCTAAATTGAAGAAAAAAGGACACACACAAACCAAAAAAGTAGTAAAATAAGCAAAGAAAAAAAACCAATACATAAATGTATTTAGAGAGTGTGGTTGTTATTTCACCTGACTGCTAAGGAAGCATAAATGATTGTTTAATAGTAAGCAACCAGAGGATGCCTGTTTTAGGTCCTCTCCGAGGGACCTAGTGATGAGGATTAATGCTTTACCAAAGGGCACTAGCGCATCGACTTGGTTTTGAACCCGGCTCGCTGGAATACGAGACCACTGTTCTACCAACTAAGCGATCGCGCCTCCTCCTAGTTCATGAGCTAAATTTCTAATATCTAATTGGGTAATTGTTGTGCCATAGAACAAGAAGTAATTGGCAACAGTAAAATTCTTAAAATAATTTTGATATTATAATACACATATCAGATCTCTATTGAACAGGACATAGAGTTCATGGGAATATGGATATTGTACTAACAGACTTCTGAGGGAATTCAAAGTGTTTCATAATTCTGCACATTACTGATCAAACATATACTCAATATCTGTTCATATCAAATCTCCTGAAATTTTCAAGCACTCTGTTTTTCAAAACTTAAACCATGTATGGAAATATTCAGGAATATCTTAATCAAAAACAATTTGGCCAAAATTTGAATGTCATTTATATGTACTGTAAATATCAACGCAACCTTTTAGACCAAATTTTCTCCTAGCAAGATGACAACACGCACATGCTTATGAAAATCCAACCTTGATAGCAAACTACTCTGGAGGAAAGCAGAAAAAAAATCGGAAAAATAGACTGGTGAGAATTTGAATTAAATTGGACAAAAAAAGAAAGTTGTGAATTTCCAGCAGTTGTAATAACTATATGTATGGGCTCTTCAAATCGGCTGAATCAACAATATCTCTGTGACGTAGAGGCAGACAACTTTCAAATTTGTTCCTACACACAAAATGACTACTATTTCAATTTTTCCAAAAATGTATGACTCAGGACGGTCTTTTCCTCTATAGAGGACTAAGAGTACATGTTCTTCATCACATACACAGGTGATGCATTAGCGATCCCATTGTACTCTTTAAAGGTATAGACCAGTTCTGGTCATGCAATTGCGTTGTGAAAGAAACATTGTGAAATCGATCAAAAAAGGTTGATCATCTACATGTAGCATATAAGTATTGGTGTGTACTGCAAGGTACACACCAATCATCAAAATGATAAGAAATTGGTAAACTTACAAGCACTGTACACAGAAAGATGTATATGGGACTATGCGATATCTATTCAGTCCAGATATATATATATATATATATATAATAATTTTCCAAATATATCAATTAGTAGGCTGTTTCCCGGCAAAATTTGTATTGTCACGTATTAGTCAAAACATATTCTTTCACATGATTGGTGATAAGAGCTTCCATTTCATTTTTTGAGAGGGGGGCGTTTCCAAAACTGGTCTATACCTATAAGATAACTATTTATAGTTTGATAAATAATTAATAACAATATGCTGTAAATGATCATGAAAATAAATACAAACCCATGAAAGAAATGAGGTCTGGTCGAGTGACAACGAATAGCACGCCCTCTTTCAGCACTGTCCTGAATTCTAGAGTTACCTTACTCTGATCAAACACTTCAAATTCATCCTTAGGAACCTAAAGAAACAGAAAGAAAGAAAAAAGTGTTCATTTTCTAAAATGTCTGCATAAATAATTGAGAAATGTTCAATCTGTTGACTACTGAATTCTCTTATTCCCATAGGCTAAATACAGGAAATACTTGACTCCCTTGGCAATAGTTTAATAAATGGTGTACAAATTGATTTCTTCGCTTTCTTTAAGTAAAAAGTCATAATGAAAGATGAATATCAATAAACCTATTTAAGTTCTATCAAGCCTTAAAGTGTTTAGTTCTTGTTACGCTCCCTCAGTAATGTTTTAATGGATGAGACAGATGGATAACAATGAAAATCATTACCATCATCATCACCATCATCATCTTTCAATCATACTAAAATTAAACAACCAAATCAATATCAATACTATTACATGTCCATTGTTGGTACTTCTAATAAATAGATATGATAAGAAAATATTAATGAGTAAGGTACCATTGTATAAAATCACTATGAATCAATTTAATGATGTAACAACATTAGAATAAAATGATGACAAAGAGATGAAGAAATCTGTACCCTGTAATATCCAGAACCATCAAAGCTGACCCCTGGAATGTAGATGACCTCTGGCTCTGGAACGGTCACTGGTGACCCACAGCATGATTGTGACCCCTCCTGACTGGTAGGTCGCCAAAGGTCAAGCTTTTGACCATCAAAGGTCACACTTCCAATACATCCTTCAAAGTCATTGCTCAAGATTTCATCAGTCTGCAGAATGAAAATGAAATTGTAAGTTCAGAACATTGATGTCACACTATGATGTCTATTCATTGGTCATTAATGCAATTGGGTTAACTACAGAAACAAACTTGTACACTACAGAAACTTACACATTTTGTTTAATTTGGTAACTAATATTACCTCTGAAAAGTATTAAGAGACAAAGGGGATGCATTATGCACAGCATATATATATATACATGTAAATCAACATTATTATCATCACTATATACTCACAAAGCACTGCTAATGGCTGCCAACACTAAAACTCACAAGACAGTGCTGCTTTAGAAACATCAGGGATGTACTAACCATCACAATATCAATATTTTTATCCCTACAAGGTACGTCATATGACTGCCAACACTAAACCAGACTAACATTACCTAAAGTGCACACGCATATATTTATAATATGTCATGATGTTATCCAGAACAGAATGCTACAATCATAACAAGGAGCAATCTTTCATCATGACGCAAAAGTTTAAAAAAAACCTTGTTAGAGGGAAGTTGCTGACTTTAAAACATGATGATGATGATGATGAAGAAGATACTTACTTGAAAATCTGAAGGGATACCACCGATGAAGAACGTTGAGGTTTCTTGGAGTATCAGGAATCTGTTATAGACCGATAAACTCCTTGCATAGTCAGTAGAAGACCCGCCAGTAGAGAGCAGTGTTACGGTTAGCTCACCCCCATCAGCATACCTGTAAAAATGAAAAATGAAATTTTGATAGGTCTGTTATCATATTTCTGATGGGAGAAACTTAGCTAAAAATGCCACAAAGTATACAATATGCTATATCTATCATATAATTATATATATATGTATATACATTAGATACAATTGCAATGAGAGAGAAAAATCATATCATTAAGACATAGGCCTATATTCTCTAAAGTCGTCAGAGTGTAACCTTAGTTTGTAGACTGATTTATGGGGGGGGGGGGCAAAAGTCAACATCCAAGTTCCAGATAAATTACTGTAATTATGTACAAAATAAAGAGCAAATTATTCAGTTACCATATTATGGTGATTTGTATAGCATGAAGAGAGTGACATCTGTCTGGCATCAAAAAGTCAGAAGACAAAGTTGTTTTTTTTTTTTTTTTTTTTTGGGGGGGGGGGGGGGGGTAAAATATGGTAAAGGAGGGAGGAGGGAATGGGGGAATGAATGTACGTACCTTGTAGCAAGTATGCGGTACCAATCTCCACAGCACACATCAATAGGACTGCTCACAGTCACCACATCCTGCCCTGCGGTCGTCACATCGCGATTCACCCGGAACTTGAAGTTGACGCGGCTTGCGATAATCTCGATACTCATGAAGACATTGTTCGCTGGATTCTCCATGAAAAAGACCAATCCATCCCGTTGCTCCGGCTTTACGTCCAGCTGGATCTCGTTGGACAGTGAGAATGTGTCGGATGGTGAGACGATGGTCAGAGGGCTTTGCGGACCTAGACGCACTGGCTGGTCAGAGTCGGCGATGGTGGTCTGGGCTCGACGGAGCTTCTCCCGGAGACTTGCAATCTTGTTGTTGATACCGGAGCGCTGGATACTGGTCTGGTTTTGAAGATTGAGAATGGTGTCCACGTTGGTACTCAGAGTATTAATGTTGCTCTCTATTTGGCTTACTGTGAATTGATAGACAAATATGGCAAAAATGAAGTCAAATTTTAAATTATGTTGCTTTTTGCGTTGCACCTTTTTTGGAAGTACAAGATGACTGTTTAGAAGTGCAATGACAATGGCACTGAAGCATCTTGCGAAAAATGAATACAAATTTTCATCAACATCCCTCCGCTCAAGGAATTGAGAAAATAATCAATACAAAATTTACACTCTTGACTCTGCATTGCTTAGATTTTGTTTAAAAATTGTCTTAGCAACAGTTACTTTTATCTTAGTATCATATTTAGTGGATTTCAATGAATGCTATTTTCAGGATAATAATGGTAAGTTTTGCTAAAATTGTGCTACTAAAAACAATCCCATTTACAACGCAGAATAACCCTAAATTCTCTAAAAATACAACACTAAGATTGAATGCCCAATAGGCGGTGTCGCACAGAAAAATCCCTTAAAAAAAATCACTTGAAAAATCCTTTCAAGGGAGAATTTTTTTGCTTTGTTAGAGGATTCTTAATGGGATAATTGATGACAAACAGCAATTAAGAGGATAACTAAAATCCGGATAATTAAAATCTGGATTATTGGCCTCTGTGTGCCACCGCCTAATATTCAATAATTATAATAATTACTTCCATAATTTCAATTCACCTTCAGTTCAGTCTTTATAAGGCTATGAAATCTGCATCATCAAAAGTATTTGCAGACAATACATTTGAAAATTCCCCCATTGTAGATGACAGGATGAAACCGACACCTACAGAATGTTACATTTACAAGACACCCATACCAAGAATGTACATTTCCCGAGCAAGACAATCACTGATCTAATTAAAGAAGATGAAATTAACATAATGTTGTAGATGACATTCTACTTGTCATCCCTGATGAGTGATTGATATTGACTATCTATTGGTAAACAATCAGGAATGCAGGGCATAGGGCAATAAGGTCAATCACCTGTTTTTGCCTGCAAAGTTTATCTGATGGATGGCACTTGGCAGTACTATTAATTTGAAAATATAAGTTTAAATGATGCTACAAAGCTGTCATCAACCCGTTTTCTTGCATTATGTGTCCGTATCCTTATTTTGTTAGAACTGCCAATTCTGTAGTGAGAGATCACATTTCTTAATACACTCATATCTTGGACTTACAAGTACAAGATTTCTGCAAATGACAAAGGGATTCTAAAATCTTTTGGCATCTTGGTAAAGAAACATGTGCCTCCCTAGGCAAACTGGCCTATTTATTATGATTTCACATCAATTTATAAATGAGTTTATAAATTTATAAATAACTACAAACTGGTCTCAAACTGCACAGCATGACCTAAGCGGCAGCTCATGCTATAGTGTATAGATACCATGTGCGAGATGCAACTGGGCTTATTTCAGCGATTTCAACAGTGACATATTATTTGTTATCAATGATTTGCGAAAATACTCCCCCCCCCCCTGCGAAAAATATCTGCTTATACAGTAAAACTTTTAACATTTGCGATACATGTTCTTCCTTTTACCTCTGTTTGGTAGACCAGTGATAAGGGTCGTTGCATTACGGACATTGTCCTGAATGAAGACAATAGACTGCTCCTCCTCGTCGAGTCTCAATGTCAAGGCCGCAGTACTTTCCAAGATGGAGTTCCCTGCGGCAATCGTTTCATTAGCTGCCTCTATGCCTGAATCAATAGCAGGTTGTATTTCAGGATCTATGGAGAAAAAATGTGGTCCGTATAGTTTTCATAGCTATTCTCATTTCTTGGTTAAAATAGACTTCCTGCTTTCATTCGTCAGTTAAAGACTGTGCACATATGCTGCATTAAACCAAAGTGTTTTTTTTAGTACTAAATAAATAGCAATTAAAGACTTTAAAAAGGTGCAGCATGCAACAGAGGTCTTATGCCTCACCAAAAAGTGACGTATGGTACACTTAAGGCTTGTCCAAGTATGGCACGGTAAACTGCCTTAAAAAAGCTTGAAAAGCAATTATACTTGAATAACTGAAAATAATCATAGAAACTTGTTTAAATAATACTGTAGAATTCCTTATCTTTCATTCAATTAAAGAGTTACAGAAATATTGTATATTTACTACAATTATATTAATAAATTGCCCCTAAAAGGGTAACAGGTTTAAAGCAAATAAGAGAAGGCTTATTAGGGCTAAAATAAAGATAAGAGGGAACTTCTTTTTAATATATATCTCTTCTTTTAAGTCAAAATTCAACAAAAAAAAAGAAAAAATAACTTACTTTCAGCTAGCTGTAAAAGTGTGTTCACCTCAGCCTCAAGGTTGGACACGTCCTGTCTAACAGTATCCCAGGATTCAATGGCAGACTGCAACGTTTGGTTGGCAGAATCCAGTGATGCAGTAAGAGCTGTCAAGGAACATAAGGTGTTAAACAGCTTACTCTTAGGATTGTTAAAAAAAGGAAACAAAAATATGAAGCCAACTTAGTACTAAGCCGACTTTGAAACTGAAATAAGTAAAATCTTTTTTCTTTAAATAATTAATTTACAAGCAAAATTTGGGGTACCATGAGAAATAATTTGAGGTCCCACTTGAAAAGGAAAATGCTGATATATTATATCTAAAGAATACATGGATCCTAGATATAATTATTGCACATATGTTTTAACAACCCCTTATGAAATAGACTTATTCCTTAATGGACAACCAAGAAAATTGGAAATTTAAGAAGATTTTACTTGGTAACAGTAGGATACTTGTTAATACTGAGACGCATGTATCCTTAAAACATCGTTCCGTCGTCATCACACTTGCATCCATGGAACATACCTTCAGTATCAGTCATACTGCCATCTATGGTATCCGTGAGGTCATTGCTCAGTTGTAGTGACCTTTGTGCCTCCTCGCTGAGTATGGCTACCGTTCTGGTGGCGAGGTAGTCCTGCGTTGATGCCAGGGAGTCCGTAGCATTCTGGTTGGTAGCCTCTGCTTCCTCGACCGCTGACACAACGCTCCGGTAATTCCTCACCGTGTCAACAGCTAGTTGCCCTTGGGGTTCTGCGGATTGGAAGTAGCTGTTGACAAAAGAAAGATCTTAGAGTGTAAGACAACTCTGAGAGTCAATTTTATGTGTACATCAATAATTACTCATATGGTAATTAAACATCACTTTGTGTTGAACTAATTAAATAGAATCCATAGTTGCCCCAGTTCACTATAGCAGAAATGCCAACCTCTTGACACAAAAAAACAGACTGAGTATCCTAAAAAATCAGATTTGGGAGAGAAAAATCAGATTTTCACGAAAACTCGACACTACCAATGGCCCGTTGGCCCTGGGCCAGTAATACTTCAGAAAAATGTTTTACTGGGGGGTGTTTCACTAAAGCCCTAAAATCGATCTAAAATCGATTTGATCGATTTTAAGGGCCTAAAATTGATTTCGATTTTAGCAGCAGTTTCAATAAATAAATAAAATCGATTTTGGCCTTAAAATCGATTTTAACTTAGAGTGTGATCCATATCAATTTCAAATCAATTTTATCCTTAGTCTTTGCATTATTGATATGCTATGTTCAGCATTCATTGGTTTTAAAGGCGTAAGTGTCGGCTAGCTTCATACATCTGAAAATGAAGAATCCTGTTAAAAATGAATGGCAATTTTTTTTTTGGGGGGGGAACAAATCTTTGTTCATAACCAATTTTTTTTTAAATCATCATAGTAAGGCATGATCAATACCAAATTTGGCACTCTGGTGGGGGGGGGGGGGAGCACAATGGCCCATTTTTTCTTCAAAAATACATGGGCGGCCCGTTTTCTCCTTAACCCAATCTAGCCTGGGAGGGGGGGGGGGGGGCCTTATCCAGCCGGCGGCACGGGAGGACGCCCAATTCGTGAGACGATACTTAACAGCGAAACAGCCGGCCGATAATTTGCTCATTGTGGGGTTGGGGGTTGGGTGAGCACTGTTTTTTTGGGGGGCCCTCGAAAAATGTTAACAATCGCACCCCCCCCCCCCCCTTGAGCGCCAGGGGAGGGGGCCCATCTCCAAAAAAAAAGGTAGAGTTAACGTTACACGTTATCTTTCCCAGGGGAGGGGGCCCGGGCTTTCTACATCTGTCACTGCTTAGAAGTGCCCCCAGGCTATGCAGTTTTTAAAAATAACCCATGCTAGATAGGGTTGAAGTGCCCCTTTTACATCTGATTAACAACCCTTTGTTTATTAAAAGTGCACTTTTCCTTTATGTAGTTTGTCCCGTTTCTCTGTTTTAAAGTTCCTGTTATTTCTAATAACTTCTTATGTTTTCTTCTTAGAAGTGCCCCTTTTCCATTTTGTTATGTGCCCCCTTTTCTATATTTGTTTAACCATATATGTGCTTAAAATTATGTGTCCTTACTCCGTTCATATTCTCTCTCTCTCTCTCTCTTTCATTAAAATAAAATGACACTCCCATCACAACGCTCAGCTTGCCGCCCCTTTCAAAGTAATTTTGTTTCTTCATATAAACACCCCCCCCCCCCTTTCTCACACAAAAATAAATAAAGAACAAAAATGAATAAATAAACACTAACTTATAACAAGATCATTACTGGGATATTTGAATACTCACCAGCAAACAAACACACCATTATTGAATCACATCATTGCCCTTTATCATCATGTAATAATTATCACCATGTGCTAGCGTACAATCTCATCTATTCATCCCCCCCCCCCTTTTATCTTCTTAAAAGACAAAAAATACATACAAAATAAAATTAACACAGATTTTAATGTCTAATCAATATGCTTATGCTTTAATGAATGAAATCTACGTTTTGTAAATGATGAGCATAGCAAATACATTCAAGGGATACAATAAGAACATTTTAAAAGACACAAATGAAAGTGCTACTATGAAAGTATCAGCCAGTTGTTAAAACTACTGCAGCTGATATCTGCCACTCTCTATTCGAGTTACTTTTAAGGAGATTAAAAGAGTAATACTTGTCACAAATATTTCTGTTACTCATATGTTTGTTAATCTATGGATGATATACATTGTCATCTAGCTAGGTCACGCAGTCGGTGAGAATGTGATTTTCTTGATACAATAGTTTGTCTATATGAAATTAATCATCAATTCTTTTCTATCAGCTTTGAAATAGCTTAGGAATTAATTTGTAAATCTTATTTTACAAGTAGTGTTGGTTGTAAAAGTGACCAGTCCATGATACCAAGATCTGTATCTCATTGTGGTCTCTCTTGCTTAAAGCTGGAAAAGGGAGCTTCTATCTGTGGGCTGGCTGATGTTTCATAGGAAGCATAACGTTGCAGGTAATTCAGGCTCTGCAGTCTAGAATCAGAATTTAAAGTTATGGAAAAAAATGAATCAATTAGTAAATACTAGTGCAATTTTTCAACCCATCTTTAACTTTTGTATTCATGCTTATTTCAAATACTTTAATTGCTAAATAAATAAATAAAGAAGAATACACAATATTCTTTAAAAAAATTGAGACAAAAGTAGTTTTAGTTATAGAAGATAAATGATTGTTTGCTTTGGAGAAAAAAATCCTTTCATAACCATTTGTGTACTTTTTATACAACAGAATGGTTAATATGGGTTTTAGACTTCTTACAAGGATTATGAAAAATGTACTGACTAATGTCTTTTCATTTTAATGACTGCTGTAGAGGTATGACAACAATGGCAGGCACAGAACATGCTGATAAGACCAATCATGGTAATTGATACTGCTTACCTTTTCAATTTGAAGAGATGGACAATAAAAGTCCATATGTCATGAACTAGCAGTACATGAAGATGCCATAGCTCTTTATTTTGCAACCTAAGATTTAAAACAGAGATACATAATTGTGATGAAGAGAGCACATCTATTTTCCAGAAAAATATTTGTCATTGTATCTAATGTGTTCAACAGAACATAAGTTCATTTTTATCAGTAATTACAATAGCAATTTACATGAATTTGGTCCCACACATTGTTACCAACCACATTGAAAGTTTTAGACATGTGCAAGATTGACTATGGAGTCTAATCTTGATCTCGGTTACCCTACTCTTGAACCAAACAATGTTGTACACAGAATCAATGAACATTCCCCTGTCATGAGTAAAAGGGAAAGATATACCTCAGCTGGTAAATAACAAACAGCTTACATCATACATATATGCTCATAACAATTTGTTCAATCACATTTTTATACATTAATTGCTGCCCTATTATTTGTACAATATTTATCAGTCTGGTTGACGTAGTAATTTATCTTTGATTTAGACATGCCATGGTTGACTTCTCCTTACATGGATTTATCAGTTTGTGATTGTACGTAGAAAATGTAATGAAAATCAAGATTACACCACCCTCAACAACAATTTATTAATTTATTTATGTAGGGTCTACAGTGTAGGTCTAGAAGAACCACACAAAAAAACTTACCTTTCACTTGTTTAAATATTGGTGTGCAATTTTTACTAGTAAAAAGATCACTTCACAAGGCCGCTATTAGCACAGTAGGATCTAGTCTAGAGTCTATAGCTGTACACCTAGACATTGAGTTTGAGTACATTCTGCATATCCAAACCCTTTCCTTATTGAGCCAGAGGCCGAGGTAGAAATTAGTAGTAGAATGAGAAGTCCAAGACTGTAGAGAGTAGAGACACGGCAGAAGAGAACTTTTGAGTCTTGAGGTCCACTCCATCTTTGAGTCTGACTCTTAAAAGAAAAATGAAATTAAGAAAAAAAAATAATATAGGGAGCCTAAGGCTTAGTGACCCTAATAGTCTACTGAGTAATAGATCTAGGTCTAGACCTAATTTTAATATTAATATGCCTGGACCTAGGCCTACTAGACTAGTCTACAATCCAACTTGTTACTGTAGCGCTAGTAGGTATAGACTAGATCTAGACCCAACTGAGTAACTCCCAGTAGACCTCGGCTCTAGTCTAGACTAGATTATAGGTCCACATCTAGGAGTAGGACTAGTCCAGCAGAAGAGAGCTGCAGACTGCAGTATGCTAGAGCCTTAGATCTAGACCTAGTAATAGTTGGAGAGGCTAGGTCTACATCTTCCCTAGATCTAGTATCAAGTATCATTATCAAGTAGATCTAGATCTAGGCCAAGAACTTAGATCTAGACCTAGACTAAATCTAGAGTCTAGAGGTCTACATCTAGACTAGATCTAAATGTAACTTGGGTCTAACAGCAACACTCTAGACCATCTACTCTCTAGAGTCCAGACTAATCTTCTTCTTCATAAAATATTAACGTCAAAACAATGATCCTGTTGTCTGTTGATTTTTAATTTTATTATCAACAAAAACAAGGCAAGGGCCGCTAAATAAATAGATAGATCTAGGCCCTAGAATAGAGGCCCTAGGCCTAGTATATTGTATATAACCCCAAGACTATTGCAAGAATAAACTAGATTAATGAGTTTGTACCTGCCCTAACCGTCGGTAGAAAATTCCTATTGAACCTGCATGAATTTATATGAATGGGACTGAAATTATTGAACCAGTGCAATTCGTCCACTTTTTAGCCCAGTTGGGGGTGATATCAATTGATATTATCTAAAGTTTTGTTCAGTTAAACACAAATGTAATTCTATAAAAATGACAGGAACACTTTTCTTCTTCCAAAATAAAAGATTTTTTATCAACAGAATTAATATTTTGAAAGAAAAACGGAATTTACTTACTTTTTCAAGGACTCTCTGGCAGTAGTTTAGCAAGCAATTTTGTGATCGATTTACCCCAAATTGACTAGCCTTGATTGCAGACACCTAAAAATCTATTTTAGCTTAAAATCGATTTGATGAAAGAGCTCACACGTATCGGTTTTAAGCTAAAACTGATTCGGCCTTAAAATTGATTTTTAAAATCGAAATCGATTTTAGTTGATGAAACACCCCCCTGGTAAGTACGGACAAGTAAAATATTTGCTCTTTCATTAAAATTTAAAGAGAAAAATGTGAAGCAAAGTTGTTGTTGTGGTTGCTGGGGTTAAGTTGTACATGTTTCTATGCGATTCCGCATTTTTTTTTTTTAAAGATGAAAAATCATATTTTAAGAGGTGATATTGTATTATCGTATGTCACTCTTATTATCTTACTAAATACAATTTAATTGTACTGGTTGGCATCTCTGCTACATGCAGGTTCAAGAAAGCAAGCCATACCTGAGTGATTCCTGCGTCATCTCACTCAAAAGCAAAGCCCTGGTCTCCGCTGCGCTCACAGTGAACTCTAGACTATCCTGTAAGCCCTGCACGACCCCAAGCTGACCTATGACCCGGAGGTTACCGTCAACCCAACCGTTGACCCCTTGCTGGTCGACATCGATGTCCATTGGGAGGGCGTCGTTACCGGACGAGCTGCCAATGTAGATGGCATTTACATCCAGGAGAGCTCGGTCTGCGTCTAATTCAAAAGGAATTTATTTGAGAGGGAATAATGTAATTAACGACAAATGCTGTGAAACATCAACATCATCATCATCATCATGAAGATTAAAAAAAAAGATCAAGACAAATTATCTGTTGCACTAACTGTAACACACACATATAAATATGTCACATGGTTTAATTATATTTATTTCAAACTTTTCCTCTCATAGTAAAACTGCTTTTGTCAACAAAGCTATATTTCTATTTGGCAAACTTTAAACATCTCTATTCGGAGGGTTTCTTCAGTTTGTGGTTTGTCAGTTGGGTGGTTCATCAGTTTGTTGACATTTAACTTTCAATCTTTACGTATTTCCTGTCCAAATGTTAGGGTACCTACATGTGTACTTTTTGTTCCTTTTTGCAATAAATATGTTTTCGATTCAAAATACATCTTAGGTTCAACTCTATTTTTGTTTTGCTTACCACTTAAAATAGGAGATTTGCAAATCTCTCCTTTTACTTTTTCACTGAATCAAGAAATTCAACTCTTTTACTTTGTTTTACAGAGAGTTTATGGGATTGGGAGTTTATGGGATCACAGTCTAAGGTATTTTTTCATTTGGTGTTCCATACATTGCAGAACATTGAGGAGATACAAGTGTAAAGTAACATCAAATGCACCACTTTATTTCATATTAGGTCTGGGGCCTGTTTCATAAAACTTGTTATCAATAACAACTGCCAGAAGTCTATTACAAATCTACTCATAGCCAATCAAATGTAAAGATTTCAGTAGCTTATAACAGTTATCGTATCGTGTTACGTTTTATGCAACAGGGCCCTGATTTAAGCTCTAGGAGGACTATTAAACTAATACAATGATAATATATACTAAACTCTTAGACATGATTGGGTAACACGTGGGGTGAGACGATATAGTCTGAGTTTCAACTAGCCCAGAATAATTCAGAGTTGAGTAAATGTTTACCTCCGATGGCTTGCGTAGCTTCAATGAACATTAGCGTGACCCCAGCAAGTTCAGCCTCAGCCTGGTCTAAGAGTCTGTTACTGTATGCTTGGTTGGTCTGAGGAAGTACAAAATACAATAAATACGGCAACTTATCACCTCTGAATAAACAACATAAACCAGATTGTTATTCAAGTCTGTACTTAATCATAACTTGGTATACTTCACTTCTTTAAAAAAAAAAATGGGGTCATGATTGCATTGAATATCTAATAAGAGATTGCATAATATAGTAAGAATTCAGAAATTTTTAGGTAAGTTGTTGAGATCTACTTCATCCATAACACATAGCTCTCAATGTGAACGCATAATTATGATTACCGGTACTCTAAAATGTTTTTATTTGAGGGACCAAATCACATAAATTTTGTGAAAAAGTTGAAAAAGTGGCAATTTTTATTGAAAATCAATGATTTTGAACCACTAAACATGTTGCCAATAAGAGGATTTTAATTTTATCGTCATGCAAACAAAAATGGATGAAGTGTGTGCAGAAATATTTTTCTTTTCTACTTGGCATCTGGTTTATTTTTAGGACTATTCATCAAAAGTAATTGAACCAAACCACAAATTGTGGATTGCCTGTCACAAACGTCCCTTTAAAAGAGTTTACCGGTACCGGTATTGGATTGTACTTTTGAAGGTGTGCTTTATAATACTTCATAACCTTCCCCGTTCTGTGGTGGTAATCTATCTGTTCATGGTTGATCAAAGAAAGAATACAGGCAGAAGTCAAAGAGAAGAGAAGGGAAAATGTATATGAGTTAATATAGAAGTTTTTAAAAAAGTAAGGAAAAGAACAGGAAAGACAGATAAAGAGAAGGGAGAGACTGAATGTAGAAGGCTTTAGTAAGGACGAAGAAGTACAAATTATCTACCTGTGTATGGTTGATCACTGTATCTGTTTGATCCAGTATGACTTGAACTGCCTCCAGTACGTTGGTAGTCAGAGAAAGCAACTGTCGAGTAGCTTGTAGCTGAGACTCTGCAGATGCTACTAGGATAACCAGACGATTCAACTCAAGACCCTGCAAAATGTACAAGAATAAATTACATCTAGGACATTTTTGTGCATAGACAAATAAAAAAATTCATCTATAAGTGTTAATTGTGATGAGTTTGAGGGTCTTAGTAATGGTAGATAACTCAGGATGATAGAGAGTCGGCAGACTGGTTGGTTATGATGGCCATGTTATTTATTCAACTACAGCGGATACCGGATATTCAGATATCACAAATTGTAAAAAATTGAGGGGTTATTTATTTCTTAACTGCAGATGAATTACAAGGAATCTGCTCGTCAGACTCTTAAATGCTCAATAAAAAGGAAGCCAATTACACACTGCAGTAACACACCTTGCATAGTCATTAGGTGTTTAGTACATACATCTCTACAAATTACTACCTACATGTATTGTTAATTAATCCTTTGCTCTAAACCATCTTTGATTCTATGTCAAACTCTTATAGAATAAGTTCTCTCTGTCGTGTTCTATGAGTAACCCAGAAATAAATCCATAAAGTGCTATCCTATAAGTTTGTCCCCTGGACACGTTTTCAAAACCCAACTTCTCTCTGGTAAACATGGTTCAATATGGATATCTATGGATCTACCCAAAGAGTAAAAGCGGTAACAGAAGTTAAAACAGGGATTCAATGTCTTGTGCAATGGATTAGCAATAACTGTTATGTTTGTTGTGATAGCATAAAACAACACTGAACCAGTGTTATAATGGTACAGTATTAAAACAGATGCATCAGAACGGGTGAACGAAAATGAAACATGCAGCTAGAGAAGAGGAAAATCAAGAAGTATTTAGTCGTTACCTGTGCCGTAACCATAGACAGCAACGAATCAGCCTCCAAGGTTACATTCCTAATCCTACCCAGTTCTGTCTCGATCAGCTCCATCTGTCCAGCAACGGTCAGAGCAGCCACACCATCCCTCCTGGTCAAAGCGTCGGACACGAAGATGGCCGCACTGGAGTTGTAGTTGGTCAACGTGGTGAAGTACTCTTGGACAGTGGCGTTGGCGGTGAGGATACTGGTCAGTGTCTGCAGGGCCGCTGACCGGTAGAGAGTCATCTGGTCAAGCTGGCTGGACGACTGCTCCTGGAGGCTGACCAATGTCCTTGATAACTCTGATGCCCTTTCTGCTACTAGAGTGACATTCCTCTCAAAGACTGCACTATCGATGGCTTCTATCTGTATTCTCAGAGTGGTGAACTGATCCTTCAGGGTGTCAAGGGCATCCCCGGTCGCTACCACCATCGGTTCCACATTGCGGAGCTGAGCATCCTGTCTCTGTAGCTCCTGGATGGAGGCTCCTAGAGACAGGAGCTGGGTGTGAAGAGACTCCAGGATCCGGGTGGAGTTGTAGAGGGTGTCCACACATTGATCACATTCTGTATGGAAGGTCAAAGGTCAAAGGTAAAAAACATAGATATATTACAGCTATAAACTAACGATTAGTATTCAACATGATAAGGGGCTCCTGGATGGAGGCTCATAAAGCCAGGAGCTGGGTGTGAAGAGACTCCAGGGTCCGGGTGGAGTTGAAGAGGGTGTCCACACACCGATCACATTCTGTATGGCAGGTCAAAGGTCAAAGAAATGTACATAAGAGATAGCTTTCCCCTTAGAGTTTCTATTCAACATGACAAGGGGACTCGAGGACGGAGGCCCCAAGGGCCAGGAGCCGGGTGTGAAGGGAGTAAAGGATCTGGGTGGAGTTGTACAGGGTGTCCACACATTGATAAAATACTGTAGGAAGCTAGGTCAAAGGTCAAGGACAAACAATAGCTTTGAATGTTATCACAATGTTGGTAAAGTCATGAAAGGAAAGAAGAAGAAAAGAATGTGTGTTTGTGTGTGCATTGATGAGGTTGAACACAATTAACACAGATGAATCGTTTCCTCAAAATCAATATTACATCCCTAAACTACATGTACACTGTACACAAATATTAAACAAGAATACTCATTAATACACAACATTAGAACAAAGAAGACTCCAAAATGCCCAATAATGATTTGAAATGTTAACTTACTGACAACCAGTTGGCTCATTTTCTCATCTAAACTCAAGAGGGAACATAAAGGAATAGACAATGGTATCAGCAGTGTTTCCTGGTGGAAGCAGCTGTGGACACATAGACACATCGTGCAGGCAATACAGGGTACAGTCAATGTGAATCTCATTTAAAGTCTATCTGCACTAGTTTGGCCAGGAGGGATTAGACCTCCCTGTATGGCCATTGGCAGGTGGTTATCTCATCAAATCAGCTCTCAATTAACATAAGAAGAGGGATCATGGGGGATCAACAAGTACCACTTAGGCATTGTTGGCTGTATATGTATAAAGGGAGCAAGTAGCTACAAATAGTGCAGTCCGGCTTTAAACCAAACAAAATAATTGGTAGCACATTTAATCTAGCCTTAGCCTTAGCTCACTTTTCTTCTAACTCTACTCACTTGTGCATCCATCGGAGCTGAAGTTGATGAAACCTGGACGACATTCATCACACAGTCTACCGGTGATACCAGTTTTACAGGGACACTGGCCCGAGCGGACATCACAAACAGCCTGAGAACCATCATTGGTACCTGTTGCATCGCAACCACAAGCTAAAACAAGAGAAAACAATGAAGTGAACATTGCATTAGTTTATAAGATAAATGAATATTTGCTTTTCAAAATAGAAGAAAGAGGCTGCTGCCCAGATTTTTCTTTTCCAACATTTGCTTATTTCTTCAAAACAACATTAAAACATAATTATAACATAGGAAAATATATATGACCTCAATTACAAAATATGAACTATAACAATCAATCTATATTCATTCAGAATTTTTTTTTTTGATTCATACAGGTGTTTGTGTGAACAAATTTCTTCAGACAAGCTACTACTACTAAGAAAATATTCAAAACTTTGGAAAAAATAGGGCATAGACAATGTTCGCAAACGTACAGAGTTGGAAAAAGCTTCATGGCTTGATTGTGTTCAGGAGAAGAAGAAATGGAAAAAGGAATGTTACGCACCTATACAAAACTGATCAGGCAGTCCAAAGCTCCCATCCTCACAGGTATCACACTTCACCCCAAGCACCCCAGCCAGACAGCTACAGACCCCACCCCCATCACACTGCAGGTCCTGGGATCCAAACTCGTTGCAGTTACACTCCACGCACCCCGACGGGTCGCCAAAGCCGTAGGAGTTCGGGAGGCAGGCATCGCATCGCGTTCCTCCCACTCCGGGCAGGCAGGGGCACTGACTGGTTATGTGGTCACAGAGAAGGTCAGATGACCCCTGGGGGTCACAGTTGCAGGCTGGAGATCGATAGAGAGACGGGTTGAGTAAGCAGCAAAAAGTATGTTATAATCACGATGGAAAGTATAAACCATCAAACAAGGTATTGTGAATATACTTAATGCATGTTTGCAATGGTTAAATATTGATGCACTACGTCATTTCTCTCTTGTCATTAAACTATGAAACTTAAACTAAACTCAAATTTAAAGCTGAACCATAAGTGGTGATTTCAATGAACATATTATTCTTAGCTGATTTTTTTTCATAAGATCCTCTGACTACCAAAATGAAATTCAATCCTATAGAAATAGTTAGATGGACATGAAACAGTTTCCAGTTTACCAGGTTGCCTTTTTTCCTTCATCGTAGTACGAAAGTGTTTTCAGAACATTTAGGACTCAAAAGAAACTGCATATTTAGAGCTAACATTGACAAATTTATCAATTAATTTGTTTTTAGTTTAAGTTGTTTTAAAGGTTTACTACAAATGCTAAAATTGTTGGCCTTTTATTGCTCTATTTTGAGATCAATTTCTTCCTTTTCCTGGTTCTTGTTTTTCTTTGTAAAATGTTTAAAAAAAATTTATTAATAAAACACATAATAATAGTCAAGCAAGAAATGAAACATATACGGCATGATCTTATCAATGATGACACACTCCATAGACAATTACAAGGCTTTGACCAGACAATGTAACTCACCCTGGCAGTCCTGCTGGCTGGCGTTGCCGTACGTGAAGTTCTGACATCTCTCGCAGTTGAATCCTGTCGTACTGAACCCGCATCCCACACACTCCCCTGTCAAAGAGTTACAGGAGTCGGTGTTACCGTTGCACTCACAGAGCTGGCAGAAACCACCAGGGTTGGCTGGCTGACCATAGTAGAAGTCATCACAACTGCAAGATAATAGGAAAATATTTGAAAATAGGGGATAAAAGATCTTGTAGAATTAGAAGTCCAATGGCTTCTATTGGTAAATCAATAATGATAAATTATTGCAACACATATCAGCTGGCAAACAAATGTGTGTATTGTAATACCAGAAATGCAACAAAAGGAACAAAAATTTACTTGGAGAAGATAGCACGCTAGAGGGCAGCAGACAGATGTCATCAGTTGATCCAGATACATATGAGCAGCAGTACATAATAGTTGGGTGGCATGACATTCAAACTGAGAGGTAAACTTCATAACTACACATACAGCTCATGTGCTATGTATTGACTTCGGTTGTATGACACTACTTACTCTTGTGACATTTGCTTCACATCAATTTCCTGCACTAACCAAATTCTTAACTTTAACCCTGACCCTAACACTTCATCTAACCTAAAATCCAATTTCGACCCTAACAGTTACACCCTAATCCTAACCCTACATCTAACTCTAAATCCTATTGTCACCCTAACCCTAACCCTACATCTAACCTAAAACCAAACTGCCACCCCACACCTGACCATATACCATATACCATTAACAAAATAAAACAAATAAAGCCCACAGAAACTGTCGCAGGAGCAAATGTCAAGTCACCATTTGCTTCAATTCTTTCTATAAAATAGAGGATTTAGATTTGACTGAAAAATGAAGACTTTCTACTTACATGTTGCAGAGAGGACTCAGATGACCTGGAAAACAATCTTGACAGGTCACGACCCCATCAATGTCCGCACACAGGTTGGACTGAGCAGTGGGTGGCCCGCATGGACACGCCTGACAGGCATCAGGTGTACCCGACAAAGCATCACCATAGAAGCCATCTAAACACACTTCACAGTTGAAACCTGAGGAAATGCAATCAATATTAACGTAATAATTCATAGTTTTCTATGACAAATCTATTAACCCATTGACTACTGAATTGTTATTTTCCCTATAGGTTTAATACAGGAGCCACCCGGTTCCAGTAGGCAATGGATTAAAAGATCAAAATATAAGTTAACCATCAGAAACTTTATACAGAATATAAGCTGTGAATTTATATTGAATAATGCATGAGCATGATTTGATTTGACTTAATTTCATTATATTTTAGTGATTCAGCAAGATGATTAACATCGATCGAATGTGACGTAAATGACTTATGATCTCATCTGTCTTGAAAACAGCGAGAGAAATGAGAGCACTTTGTGTGAATTGTAAGATTTTACATGTGTCTTGAGAAATTTCCTGATTGGGGGCTATTATCTCGTGAAGTTGTTGTTGGTATGCTAATATTTAATACCTATCAGTCATAAACCAAATTTTAGAGCTAACTTTACACCGTCGTATGGGATAAACCAGCAAAGGAAGTTATCTCCCTTGTTGGAACTCTCAAAAGCATCTCATAAGTTTTATGGAATAAATTGCCGGAATACCTTAGAAATATAGCAACATACGCAAATTTCTAAATTAATTTGAAAACATACTTATTTAGCACTTTGTAAAATATCTCAATTATGAACCCTGTGCATCATATCCACTAGTTCTATATTCTGTTCTGTAAAGTACATAGAGACATACAATTATGCCTATGTTTTATTTCGCTATGGAAACATGTTTAATGATCATTATCATAAGTCCCATAATTCAGGTCGAGCTTCAGGTCGTTACAGAATGACTTACCTCCAGTGTTGTCTTGACAGTCTAAACACTGCCCGTTACTGGGGTCACATGTTGAGCTATGACCATTGCATTCACACGCAACACATACGCCAAAGAAGGAATGAGAGGTGGTGTTCACACGGTAGAAACCTGAGGCACATTCCTACAAAAGAAATAACACCATGGAAAGACACCAATGATAGGACAATATACTTTCTAAATGGAAAAAGAAATGTATGGCTCTCAAACAAAATAAAATGCATATCAGATTGAATAAAGTAAAATGTAAATAATATATATGGAGAAAAAAAATTACATGTAAGATCTTTCATAAAAACCCAAGGGTATCAGTTGCAGCAAAAGCCATTACTTTCAAGTAAGATATTAAGCAACTGCATTGTTCAACTTGTGTCAAATTTTTAAAGAGAATCTTACAAATATATACCACTATCACATTAAATGATATAAACGAGTATAAGCTCTTGTCTCTGAATTTCTGGAAATATTGTATATCAGTAGCTTTCTACATTCCTCTGGTTGAATTCCAGATTAGTTCAAAATTTAATAATTACTGGAACCGAACTTGATTCCAAATCTTACCTCACAGGAGAGTCCTGCATACTGTGGGCCACAGGTGCACTGTTCTACAGCCAGAGCTCTGGGGGCGGTCTGCACATAGCTTGGTGAGTCCGCAGGGGTCGATTTGTAGTATGACACACTACCGATGCTGTAGCAAGAAATTGGAGTGTAATACCACAAGATTATAAAAATATTATAATTGTTGGAATTTTTTTTTAATTTTTTAAAACAAACACCCAAAAAAAACAGCAATGTATAAATCTGCACATGCATAAAAAATGATAATCATATATACTAGAAATGTTATAAATAATATTTCCAAATAAATATTTTCTCATAAGGCCAAGATAATATTTGACACTTATTTTCATATATTTCCTTTAATGGAATAGATGTAATAATATTCCTGCACTTATTCAAAACCAACTTGATGTCAGGGTAAACTTCTTCTTTAAAACACAGCAAAAAACACCAACAACAACAAAACAAAAACAAGAACAAGCTCAATACCTTGATGCATGTGCAGCTGAACTGAGCGTAGCAGAGACAAGGATGCTATTGACATTGCTGAGAACAGTCAAGAACTGGGCCCTGCTCACTGACTGACCAGTACCAGTGGACACCCAGCCTGACCGTTCACTCATCCCAACAGACATGGTGGTATAATCCCCAGGCTCTTGGCTGCCGAGTTGGTAGCTCAGCTCTTCTTCTTGACTCTGAAAAAAAGAAAAATCAAATCTTATTTAACTCATCTATATTAAAGCTAAAAGCTAAAAAGCAAATCATGGGGTGAATTTGACACATGCATGTAGAGTATGATCAAATAGCACTCTTTGTAATAGCAACCGTTCAAAGTATGCTTTTAATGTTTCAGTATCTTTCCTCCATTTCATTTCTTTATCGACAGAACTTTACTTACACTATGATAGATATAATCTCACATATCTGGAAATCACCATGATAATTGAACACTTTGAAGGACATCAGTACTCCAATTATTAATCATAATCCAAACAGGTGTTCACAAAATCAAATGAACTGTATCTACTACGGTACATCATATGAGCCATTTTAAAGCCTAAGCCAAGATAGGATAACACTCCTCTTTCAAATACTTACTCCAGTATATAATAATAATAATAATAATAATAATGGTGGCTTCTTATATAGCGCACATGTCCATCACGTTGTTACGCTCCTGATATGAGTTAATTGATATTCAAACAAAATCCTTTGGCCATTGTCTATGAAAAGTATTTCTTCCAAATGAAATCAGTACCTGAATAGACATTGTAGCTTCTGTTGGTACAGTGCCAGAAGAACTACCACTCCCTTCCAGGAGGTACGACAGGTCAAAGGTCACTGTCTGATCGTATACTCCTAGCAGATTACCCGAAAAGTCATCTGCGGGTAGTCTCCAGAACGCTACGACTCCTTCATTCAGTACGACAGATACATAGTCTCTGTTAGCGATCACATTGGCAGTGACTGGCAGTGGAGGGTCAAGGATGTTTAGGGGGATGAAGACTTCCCACAGGTTTACTGTGGCCTCATTGGTGGGTATGGTGTACTGTAAGGACAAATGGAAATACAATTGAACAAATACAATTTATAATGCAAATACAATGCCATGTTTGCATGATTTAGCTATCACTTTGGGAGTGACTGGCAGTGGGAGATCAAGGATGTTTGAGGGGACGAATACCTCCCAACAATTCCACTGTGACCCCATTGGTGGGTATGGTGTACTTAAAGAGAAAGTTAGAAATAAGATTGGTTCAGTCTATCATCTTTCTTTGTAACGATAAATTGTGGCATGTAATGACCGTAACAAGCCAAATCATGAAAACAATAAAACAATTAAAAATACATAATACATGTTACTGTTGGTATGTAAATAATAAGCACCAAGAAGAATGGTATCAAACACAGAATTCAAAAGGTAATATAAGACACCAAATCAACACATAATAATGCTTGAGCTAAGTTGCAAGCTGATAGAGCTAATGAATTTTTTTTTTTTTTAAATCTTTTTTTAAATATCTCAATTTTATGAAATAATCTACTATACTGGTGTGTAATATACATGCATGCTGGTTTTGCTACATCATTTCCAGTCACTAAAATCATTTCCACTCATTTCATCACCACATATTTAAATTATGAAGTATCATGAACCCATTGTCTGCGGAACCGGGTGGTTCATGTATTAAGCCTATGGAAATGAGAGAAATCGGTAGTCAATAGGTTAAATTTACCTGTATAGCTCTTTGTGTAGTGCTATCACACTGGTCAGTGATTCCCATACACACACAGTCAAGACAACCTGATGGATGGGCTGGGTTGCTATAGAACGACCCAGCCACGCATGTATCGCACTGCAGACCCTCAGTATTACTCTGCAATAAAAACAATTAAAAAACAACAGATGAGAATAAAAATGCAAGCATAATATTTAACATGTATGCATACATGTACCTCCAACCATTCACAGCGAAAATTAGGAATCTCTCAAGGCAAAATTAGGAATACAGTTAATTTTGTATACTAGCTTTTCAGATAGAATATTTCAGAAAAAGAGAGGAATCTAGAGTTCAAAACAATAGCTTGAAGGCCAAAAGTTAGGAATCATTCCTCAAATATAGGAATGTTTGCCAGCTATGTGTATGTGACATGTATGCAATATGGAAGATGACCTATTTCTACACGTATCTTAGCAGTCCTTCATTCAGCAGAGCTAATCTCATTCTGCAATACTATCACTCTGCAGAAGATACCTCACCAAAATATGTTCACAGAGTCACCGTAAAAGCTGTTTCTAAGGAAACTCTCTGTGTTGGTACAAGCTTTGATCCTACTAATATACTGCTATCTGTCAATATTAATTATACTTCAGAAAAATTTGTATCACAATTTATTGAGCACTAAAACTCATTCAGTATTCTAAACTGTTATGCAAAAAGCCTCAATATATACTTTGAATATATTGAGACTCTGCTACACACCCTTAAGAATTTTTCTCTTCTCTGTAATAGCCATCTCTGAAACATGGCTGAATAGAAACTTCCCTCCCTTATTTAATTTAGAACATTGAAATCGAAAATAATAATCACAAAAACTAATTGATGGTGATTGAAAGATATTATATCCTATAAAATGGGCATAGACACAGAGGAATAAATTTTGTAACTCGATGAATTCACATATAAACTATAAACTAAATCTAAAGACATACCTTGCATATGCACTGTCCTGTAAGGGAGTCACACACGTCACTCAGGCTTCCAGAGACATCACAGTCACATGGTGAGCAGCCCTCAGAGGAGAGTTCCTTGAACCCTGGCAGACATTTCGAGCAGTCCCGACCGGTCACCCCCGGTTTGCATGGACACTGACCGGTCTGCTGGTCACACTGAAGACTGACCGACCCTATCGGGTTGCACTGGCATTCCTACAAGGAGATGAGACGAGTTACATTTCTCAACAATTACATGGACATGTGTATACTTGGCGATAGTTCCATAGCTCTTCCAGTATAGTAGGAAAGCAATAGGCCATTTTTGTAATGTAATCAAATTTAATGCTCAAGTCTTTGTTAAGTGCCCTGTTAAAAATGATTTCACTCACCTGTTATGAATAATTGTATTTCAATTGTCAGAATGTGAAATGCATACATTAATTGTTGCTGCGTAGGACAGACATTACAGCTTTTTTTCATTTCTATTTATTTTTCACTTCTGACGGGGTCTGTAAACAAATTCATTCAAAGCTGTACCTAATGGTGCTACAACATAAATGGTAGCAGAACAGAAAATACTGCAGTATGTTAAACATGAGGCACTTATATTAACTACAGGTACATTGCATATTGAATTTTATGAGGGTCGCTACCACTTATGTAGCATGAATATGGATAGAGTATTATTTGTGACGTGAAATGAAATGCATCTTGCAGAGTGGTTGCCTGACCTTGCATCCGGTAGTACTGTTTAGTCCCCATGTGAAGGTCACACAACGATCACACCGACGTCCAGCAGTGTTGGGAGGGCAGTTACACTGACCAGTTGTAATATCGCATACTTTGTCATCTCCAAAACAGTCACAGGCTACAAGAGATAACAATTTTAAAAAGATGAGTCTATTTAAATAAGATACATGGTGAGGCTGTCATTTTACTAATCTCTAGTGAAAATAATGTTTGATAATGATGAGCAGCTGTTTCATGTCCTTACTTATAAATCAATATAACAGGAGCAAACTATGATTCCCTAAAGAATACACAAGCTAAAAACATTTTCATTTTAATAGTCAAAGTGTACTCTTGAATAAATACTAAAACACTAGAATAGAGTTATTCACCCTTTCAAGAAATACCAAGCTCTGCGTGTATACTTAATAAATCAATAAAGGTCACATTAAACATGATTAAAATCAAATTGGTTTAAACTTGATTAAGAAACTTAAAATCTCTTGTTCAAATATCTATAACCAGCATTCATCATGACATGATCGTCATCTAGAAATGAGTATACACCTGGGGGTGTTTCACAAAGATCCTAAGTTGAACTTATCTCTAAGTTGGACTGATCAACCTTTCCTGATCGATTCCACAACGTTTCTTTCACAATGCAATCGCTTGACCATAACTGGTCTTTACCTTTAAGTTCGACTTAGAATCTTTGTGAAACACCCCCCTGGTATCTTTTCTCTCCAACGTATTAAAAAATGATATCGCATATACTTACATGTACAGCCGGTGCTCCTGAATGAGAAGAATTCTGGGAGACACGAGTCACAGGTGCGGCCCCCTATACCCCCCTTACAGGTGCATTGACCCCCATAGGAGGCGCAAGATAGCCCCACGCTACCCACAAGGTCACAGTCACACCCCTGTGCCCCGTCAAAGTAGAACGTCGTCAGGGAGAAGACGTTAGCCAGACAGAAAGACTCGTCTGCGCTACCAAGTCTGTAGGGAAAAGGAAGGAAGGAAAATGGATATAGATATTGATTGCTTCTTTATTATCTCTCCAATGCTGATCAAATTAAAATACAAGATGGCTCTTTGGATAATGCAGCGATTTTGAACCTAAAGGTCCTACATGTAGGTTCAAAATCAAGTTAGTGAGGTAGGCTATGTGGGTAAGACATTAATATTATTAAAATCATTATGTATCTTGGATAGGAAGCCACATGTCTTTGAGATGACTAATTACCTTCACTTATTAGTACATGAACTTTCTTTCTTAGCACTCAGATGTATTTAACATCAATCACCATTATTATTTAGTCATGGTTCCACAATGCCTCTATAAAGCTTGATTTCAAATCCTCAAATATACTATTGAAACATCTACAAAGTGGCTTCTTTATAACTACAACAGGCATATCCAGAAAATGTTGGAGTTTAAAAAAGCCTTAAAGGTTTATAACCTCTAAAAAATTTCTTGTTTTTCTTTCCTTGTTAGTGATTTTTTTTCTTTTCTTTTTGTTTGGTGAATCTTGGATCTGCTTTTGATCTTAAGCCACACTCCTAGCCTCTATGACACCAATTACAAAAATCAATTAAGGCCCGTTCAGATATGAAGCGCAAACCCACAGTGTTTTTTTGCAGGTGTTTGCCGCTGCATATCTGAACTTCTGAAGCTCTTAGGGGTACGACTCCTCACCTCATGTTATTGGTCTGAAGATCACAGGTGGTAGCAAACTCAATGCCACGCCCATTCCCAAGAAGGGATCGAGGGTCGCTGTACTCTACCGGTATAGCTACCAGTTGATCCTACAAATAGAAATGAAGAGAATCAGGGAACATTATATCATCTTTTCAGATGGGTGTTAATCGTGTATTAAACTTTAAACGCCCTTCTGGCTACTAACAAACAACTTGCACTTCATTACTAGTATGTTTCTAAAAAATTCAAAAAGATAAAAATATAAATGGATAAAATTTACACAGGGCTACACTGCATTCTATTCCTTGATTCAGAATATGATTTGTAAAGTACACATTTTTAACAAACATGTAAAACTAGCCGGAAGATAGCAATGAAAATTTATAAAGGATGCTATCATTAGTGTACGTTGAGCACGTGACTGTAGTCCAAAGCGGTGGCTGCATGCGGGATAGATATCCTCTCGGGAGTTTTTGGATCTTATTTTTGGAGCAGCAATACTCTAGAGGGTATGGCTGTCCTAGATTTTTTTGAGGGCTTACAAAATTTTTTTATCAGCTTTAACTTGCATTAGTAAAGAACATACAAGCATGACAATACTTCAATATTTGGTCAATTGATGAACTGTCACAAGTCTAATACATAAATGTCAATATAATCAGAGTGCTTATGTTTTCTCAAATGAAGACAGCTGTATTTAAACCGAAGAATGTTACCATGGCAATAAATCAAGTTTTGTTTGCATTTTGTGGAGCAGATGGCACACAGAGCATGCTGTCACAATATTTGCTCTCAAGAAACTGATCAATAATAGATTGATTTTTACTTCAAGTCTACTGAAAATGCATATTATGATATACCGCAATATCACCTGGTTTTGGAAGGGCATCAACTCTGTGAAATTTGATGCGAGTTAATGCAGGTCTGGCTCAAAACAGAAGATAAATGCTAGAGAAGTATAGAAGAGTTGGATTTTTATAGTTTATAGAGTACTTATTCAAAGGGATGATGAGAGTTGACCTTGTGATCGGCTCTACGATCTTTGGCCAATTAAAAATCTCAGAACTTATTTGCCTCTTTCAGATGCTGATTTCAAAAGGTCAGTCCAAAATATTGATAAGGGCAGCATTCCACGAAACCTTGTATTTAAAACTGTTTTGTGAAACGGTGCACTGATGTGATTGATACACACCTGTAAAAACCCAAATACACACAAATTAATGTGTATACCATAAAATCATTATAGCTTTACATTGGCTCTTTCAAGGAGGGGTCTTTATTCATTGCAGTGCCATTATACAGGTTTGACTTTTGCTACTTACAAGTAGAACTTTAGCTCCTCCTTGTGTATTGATGCTAGCAGTGATCCTCCAGCTACCAGGAGTGAGGATGAAGAGCTCCTCGAGCTCTGGATGGCCAGTGTTCTCCACTATACCATCATAACACCACACTCCTGAGCATAGAGGGAGGGTGGTCTGGCCCCTCATCACAGTGCCCTGGCTGCCCTCCCCTATGGGCTGAATGGTGAAGTCCACTCGGCTGATGCCTTCTGTGATGGCTCTGAGGACTAGGCGGAACTCTCCATTGAATTGGGAGGGTGGAACAGTCAAAACAGTGGAGGTGTTGACCTGAATAGGAAAAAAAACATGATCCATACTCCTTAAGAATTACTTTAAATCAAAGAGAGCATAATTATACACAAATGTATTAAACAATCAATTTTACATGTATCTTTATATTGATTAGTCAAAGAATAATTTGATTTATTATCAAAGTATCATGATCTTACTTCTATAAACCTACAAGGTATTCACAGAAATTGTTGAATGGATTGACCACAAATACACTTACTTTAAGAATTTAACGAAAATATTTCTATGGAATAATTATCAATTTTTTCCAATAGTATATACGTTTTTGATTAAAATAAACTATTTACTATGTGTATACATGCAATGTTCTACATTGATGTGGAGAGACCATGTCCAAATGATAAACGTAAATAAAGTTTGTGGAAAGCATTGTAAAAACCTCTTGTAACATCTAGTTTCAGGCAGTCAGAATATACATCATAATTCATTTCTAGACAACTAGTTTTCCTACATAGATGGCCAAATAATATATTAACAGGTGTGGCTATTAATTCAAAAGTTACATTTCCTTTTTGCTACCAGAACTAAAGAGCTAAAGAGAACCAATTTTTTCTTTCACAATGATCTTACCGAACCAGACAGCTCCACGTAGCCGATCCCGCTGAAGCCGGACACCTCTCTCTTCCAGTATGGACTATCCATAGACTCAAACTCAGTGTTGATGAAGTGGAGTGTGGGGTAGAAAGCATTGGAGGCAACACTGAAATATTCAAGACAGGAGAATATCAATGAAAATTATATATAAAAAGAGAATGAAATCTTTGAGGAGGCGCGATAGCTCAGTTGGTAGAGCAGTGATCTCGTAATCCGGTGACCCAGTTTTGAAACCAAGGCAATGCACTAGTGCCCTTTGGTAAGGCATTAATCCTAATTACCAGGTCTTTCGGAGAGGACCTAAAGCCGTCGGTCCTCTGGTTGCTTACTTGCTTTAATACTAACAAGCATTTATGCTTTCTTAGCAGTCAGGTAAAATAACCATCACTACAGACTTACCAAAATTTTCAAGGTTATGCATAACTAGGACATGGCAATTTTGTACATGTATCAGGTAAATGGAACAAAGGAACAGCATCAGAAAGGCGATTACAAAAGGTGTTTCCTGTAAGCCTGTCACAGAAATGTTTTTTTGCCCTGCCCACATCATCATCATTAGAACTAACCTGTAACACCTACGACCAGTCACACAAATCCTGCAGGTGCACTCCCTATTGTTCTTAATACAGACTGGCTTCTGTGCCCCGCCCACATCATCATCATTAGAATTAACCTGTCACACCTTCGACCAGTCTCACGACTCCTGCAAGTGCACTCCCCATTGTTCTTAATACAGACTGGCTTCTGTGCCCCGCCCACATCATCATCATTAGAACCAACCCGTCACACCTACGACCAGTCACGCGACTCCTGCGAGTGCACTCCCGATTGTTCTTAATACAGACTGGGTGCTCTACCCCACCCACATCATCATCATCATTATCATCATCGAAAGAACTAACCTGTCACACCAACGACCAGTCACACGACTCCTGCAGGTGCACTCTCCATCTGTCTTATCACAGACAGAGTTCTCTGCCCCACCCACATCATCATTGTCATCAACATCATTAGAACTAACCTGTCACACCTACGACCAGTCACACAATTCCTGCAGGTGCACTCTCCATAGGTCTTATCACAGACAGAGTTCTCTGCCTCACTCACATCATCATCATCATTATCATCATCGAAGGAACTAACCTGTCACACCAACGACCAGTCACACGACTTCTGCAGGTGCACTCTCCATCGGTCTTATCACAGACAGAGTTCTCTGCCTCACCCACATCATCATCGTCATCAACATCATTAGAACTAACCTGTCACACCTACGACCAGTCACATGACTCCTGCAGGCCGTGCACTCTCCATAGGTCTTATCACAGACAGAGTTCTCTGCCTCACTCACATCATCATCATCATCATCATCATTAGAACTAACCTGTCACACCTACGACCAGTCACACGACTTCTGCAGGTGCACTCTCCATCGGTCTTATCACAGACAGAGTTCTCTGCGCCGCCGACATCACACTGGCAGTTCGAGCAACCCTCTTGACTGGTATCTGACAGGCCGTAGTAGCCATCTTGGCATTCTTCGCATCGTCGTCCCTGGGTGAATTCCTTACAGGGACACTGGCCAGTGGAGTCCTTGGCACAGACCTCAGAGCCCCCTACGGTACCGGCCGTGAAGCAGTCACAACCTGTGGAGTCATGTAGACAAACAAAAAGTTTGAGATCTCCCTTTTTGGTCAAATAGAAAATGTTTTCTTACATAGCAAAGTGAGCAATTGTATACATGTATGTGAGATCTAATCAGGACTTTTTTTTTATATGGTGTCTCTCCAATATATCATACAGAGAAATAAGTAAATCAAATCAAATTACATTAAAATACATCAAGATAAATTTGCCCCTAAGTTCCTGACAGGGTAAAATTAACAAATGTTAAAATTAGCTTATTTCAAAACAAACTATTGCATTTTGCAATTTTATAGCATTCTGTTTGGCACTGGCTCTCCTTTTCCATTTAAGGAAGTCTCTTTGATCATTTTTAAGAGCTAATGAGCAAAGAGCCTTCACCCAGCCCTTTAAGAAAAGTTGTTGCTATTCTAGCCCCTATAAATCTCGGACTATGAATAAGTCTCTAAATAAAATCAAATAAACTAATTAGGCAATAGAGTAGAGCATGCAGCTACAATTAATGATTTTAGATACCAAGCAATCAATACCTAATATGACAAATATAACACCAAATAAAAGTTCTGTGCTTGACTTACCAAGACATCCATTTGTATTAGCATCTGTGAGATCGTAGTATCCATGTAGGCATTCATCACACTTTGACCCTTGAACATTGACCTTACAGAAGCAGTCACCTGGAAGCTGCAGTAAAAACATAAATAAAAAATCAACAAAGTTCAGAAATTTTTAATTAATTTTTGTATAAAATGTTACTTACTATATTTCTTCTACTGTACTAACCCTCTGACATGCAAAAAATTCTGAAAAAATTCTCAAACCACGAAGATATCTATGGTTTTCTTTGAAGGTGTTGATGTATGACACCCTCTAACAGTGATTAACAGTAAATTCTCCCAACCATTTTTGAATTTTCCCAACCGTTTTTCCATGAAAAAAAAGACATAAAACAGGCTATAAAAAATCTGTCAATACTTAAATGTCTGGAATGGAATGTAGAGCCATTTTATTGCTTTGTGAAATGTCCATTCACCTAAAATGTAATTAAATTGTAATAATATAGTTGGGAGAATTAAGGAATCGATCAGATCAGTTTTTCCCAATTTGTACCATGAATAATGGTCCGTTTTCGCTCAATTTTCAGATTATTTTTAATTGTACATCTAGCATTGAAGTCACTACCTTAGCACCTCTATCTCTCATCTGAACAATGTTACAAAGTCCCTTTAATGTTCCCATGCCTATAGGCAACATGGAAGCAAAACTGCTTTTGTAAACCCTGACCCACATGCCCTTCTTTTTTCCCTTTCTATTACTTTCTCCTTATGCAGTGAAAGCTCTCTATAAAGACCACCCAAGGGAGACAAGAAAAATGGCCTTAAAGGCAGGTGGTCTTTATACGTACAGGTTCATTTAGTACATGTTTCAATGAGAAACCATTTTCAAGGAAAACAAAAACTGTGGTCTCTGTAGACAGGTGGCCTTTCTATACAGGTGGTTGCTAAAGCAGGTTTGACTGTACCTATAAATCTTTCATTCACTTTCATGGTCAAATAACAATACAAACTTGTACCATGCCAGCAGGGGCGGTGTCATCATCACTCATGACACACTCTCCGTTGACGAGACCAACGTTAGGATCCTCCCTGGTCCCTGGTAGGAAGCAGTCACAGGCCTGGCAAGCTTCCACATCAGACTGCTGTGTGCCTGCAGGCCGGAAGTAGAACTGGACGCATCGGTGACAGTTGATTCCTTGGACGGGCAGAGAAAGAAATGTGTTAATGATCCATGAAATAAAAAACTAATGAAGGCAGTGTTATGCACACATGCCCTTCTAAACAACATACCTTCTTGAAAAGAAAAAAAATAAAGAAATTTTAAAAAATGGGAATGAATTTACTTTTGGCCAGGAGGGATTAGACCTCCCAGCGTGGTCATTGACAGGTGGTTATCTCATCAACTCAGCTCTCAATTAACATAAAAAAGAGGATCATGGTAGACCAACGGGTACCGCTTAGGCATTGTTTGCTATATAGAGGGTGCAAGTAGCTATAAGTAGTGCAGTCCCGCTTTAACCTGATGACTGCTGAATTATCTCATTCCCATAGGGTTAATACAGGAGCCACCACGTTCCCATAGTCAGCGGGTTAATAAATAGCCTTTTCACCATATGCTATCGATCCACATACCTGCTGTGTTATCCCTGCAATCCATGCAAACACCACCCCCTATGTACTCTCCGGCTGCATTCAGGCTACCGCCCATCGCCGCAACCGACTCGTTGTACTGACACACATCACTGTGACTAAAGCAGTTACACTCTGAAATAAGAAGGAAATATATAAAATACATGCACATTGGTATTAAATTCAATTAATTTATTTCCACAAAACTCATAAAAAACAGTAAAATATGTACGGCAATGCAGAAAAAATAGAAATATTATGATAGAAAAAAAAAATGCAGAAAAGAATGATACACCCCTGTACATACTTTAATAACATGATAATTGAGTATATGCGGAGGAACCACATGTAGCAAAGGCAGAAGACCTATCATGGGCTAATCCACAGCGAGGTTATGGTCTTTACAAGTACGAATTTCAAGATAGAGTTAGAAATTATATTCATTATCTTAAAATTAGCCTAATTACAGCTACAGTGACAAGTAAGTTGTACGGTCTCATTTTCAAAGGCAGATAAGCTGAAGAAAATGAGTTAAAGAATGAATGCTTTCTCAATCAATGTCCCTAGTACGGTGGTATGCTTTTGTTCTGATGCATCACCATCACCAACATCGTCATAACAACTACTACCACCATGATAACTAATATCATCATCATCATCAACAACATTATCATAATTATCTTTATATGTATTACATTAATTTCAATTTCAATATTGGATTACCAATCATCTCGATTAGCCAATAATAGTAAGTGAAACTATAATTTCACTCTCCATTTAACTTACCGGTAGGTGAATTGTATTCCCTTTTGTTCTCCATATACATGTACCTTGCACCCATATGACAATATACCTACTTTGAGTATGCAACATATATTATTACTTTTAGCACTGATCATAATTCATTCAACAATATATTCTTCCTATAAATGTGCTTAAGTCATATCATAACCCTTTTTTTTTTCACATCCATTACCCACTTCTGTTATCCCACCATCAATATTCTTGGATCTAAGGTTTACCTACCATTTTGTATGAATGTACTTTTGTTAATGACTTTTTAATACTATTGTATTTTGTGCAGTATCCTTGTGTTATTACTTATGTAAATTGCACCCAATTCAGCCGCTAGGCTGCCATGTACAATGTTTTTTATACCACAATAAATAAATAAATGAAATCTTTATACACGGCGACATCATCTTCATGATCATCATTATCATCATAATCATTATCCTCTCCTCCTCATCACCACTATCTCCATCCTCCCCTCCCTCCTCCTCCTCCTCTCTTTCTCCTCCTTCAAGTAACAATCTTTTCTCTGTAGGCCTACTGACCTTCACAAACGAACCCCTCAGTGCCCGGTTGATACGCCAGCTGGTTGTAAAATGGCAGACACTCGTTGCAGGTGTCACCCAGAGTGTTGTCACCACAGATGCACTGGTAGGTCATCTTAGTGGGGTCGGAGGTCAAAGGTTGAAGAGTACAGCTGGTGGCATGATCATTGCACTCACACTGTGCCATTACCTCAAGGTTCCGAACCGTGTAGTGATGCTAAAAAGTCAATATTGATAGGGAAAACTGATATAGGGCACAAAAGTTTTAACAGACATTGTTCCTGAACTTCCTGAATAATTGTCAATTATAAAGATGAAGACTAAATCAATATAATACTATCAATCTTTAGGACCTATGCCGAGAGTAATGTATGTTTACTTTGTGCAGGAAAAATGATTATGATAGTCATGAAACATACTTCTGCAATCTCAGCACATGATGTTCATCAAAATCTTAAGGTACAAACAATACAGATTTCAGAAACAAAATATAGCTGTTTTTTAACCATTGAGTAGTATGTAAATGGGAAAATATATT